TTTGTCGTTTGTTTATCAACTTTGGCGCCGTCTAGACCGAGAATAGCAGCGGATGTAGCACCGAGCTATCAGAGATAAGGAGCTTTCACGTCATCAGCAGAAAACCGTGAGATCAGTTTGGTCAGCAGTTCTTTGAGGTTAATGACGAAGTTAGAGTGGGTTAAGTCTTCTTTATCTGAACCAATGGGAGAATTTCTAGCGGGAGCCATTTTTGTTTTATGGTAATTTGGGTGTGGTTTTTTTCATTTCAATTCTGAAGGGGATCGTTTTTTTGAAGAGACTCGCGGTTAGTACGTCGAGGGGTCAACACGTACTTTGAGTGATCGCATTTTAGAGGAGACTCGCGGTTAGTACGTCGAGGGGTCAACACGTACTGAGTGATCGTTTTTTTGAAGAGACTCGCGGTTAGTACTTCAAGCGGTCAACACGTACCTTGAGCGATAGTTTTGGTACACTTGGCGGTTTGAGCCACCGGCTTATTTCGGTTGCTCCCAGTTGCGTGCTTTTTGCACCCGTTTCGAAGTGTTATTTTCTTTTCGTGTTGATTTTTTGGCGAAGAAGACCCAGGTTCTAATCAGGTGATATTTGGGCGAACCCTTGAGCTTCACCCCAGGTTACTTTGGATGCAGTGAATCGCGTTAGGATACGTTGTGATTTCTCGAGGATATATAAATCAAAGTGCTGCCCTAGTCCTCAAGGCGCAGAATTTCGGGATCCGCCCAGGTGGAATTTCCTATTAGTGCCGTACGGTCATTTGTCGAAGGAGCGCTGCGTTTCGGAGAGATATTTGCCCCAAGAAGAGCTGGTGAAATAATACGTCGAACTATCGTGGTTTACCGTCGGATAGTGATCATAAAAGTTTGTGTTCTGCTGTACCGCTAACTCAAAAATCTGTCGCCCGCAGGCGGTCAAAGCTAATAAACTAATAAAATAAAATTAAATACTGTGCTGTGTAGAAACTTTGGCAACTAGCCGTCTCCCACTCGCCACGCGAAGGATTTCTTGGACTAAGTTTCCGTTCAAACACTAAACTTTGCTTTCGTTCCGAGGAAGGATAGGCACCGTAGATTTTGGTTTCCGTGTGTTAAATTCAAGCCACCCCTAGGAAGTCACAGAGACCTAAGTGTCAGGTTTCATCACATTCACCCTGTACCAGAGGAAAGAGCAGTTCACAAGATCGGCTGTACAAATGTTGTAAAGGTTAGTCTAATTAAATTTGTAACATTCTGTAAAATTCCACTTTTTGGTAATTAAGCTATAGTAAAAAAATTTTGAGTTGATTGTTTATTAAAGTCCAATGAACGATTACCAAAGAGTAGGATAAATTTTTGTGTTTATTTAAATAAGTCCCAGCCCACGCTGGATAAAAAACTGATTACCTGTTGTTGCATTTTTCAAACTGTAGAGGATGGCCACCCCTTGAGTAAATTAGTTTCACCTGTTAGGATTTTTTTAGTTAGTAGTTGTCATTGTTAAGCTAGTGTTTTTACAGTAGAAGAGAAGAACTGCTAGATCCCTGTAAATTGTTTGTATCGCTAATCTCATTTCAATATATTATCTATTTGGTTTCAAAGTGCCTGTCTTTAACGAAGAACGAGGGGAAGGAAAGGGAGGAGTAGGAGTTGAGGCAGGAGACTGGTAGGCGGCAGGTTAAGGTTTGTTACGCAGTTTCAAAAGAGTTAAAAGCCCACCGATTTGAGTTAACCGGAGCATTTATTTTTATCGATTGAGCAGCCTGAGAAGAAGACGGTTTGCCTTGCCGGGCGGAACCGATGGTAATTTTCAAGTCCAGAAGGAACCCCCGTAGCAACTTATAGCGTGTACTTAGTGGTATTCAAAGATATAATTGCGAAGGTGACGCATGGCATTATTGCTATAGTAACACGCGAAATACGGACAGTTAAGCAGGAATACTAGCAGTAAATATAAGTTCCACTTAAACTAAGCTAGGTGCGCACTTAGTAAAGTGTATCTAACTTAAGTAATGGGTACGTTCCAACTTAACGCCCACAACGATCACGACCGCGACCGCGGTTTTATCGTTCCACTAGCTTAGAGGCGTTGTGGGCGAACCCTTAAGTGGAACGCTTTTGAGTGCGGTGTGACGTCACGCGTGAGTTTTCCAACATGGACGCCGTTGAGGAAATCGTAATGCGTAAAGGATACAAAGTGGGGTGGATTATGAAAAGTCACATTAAGTTAGTAAATATTTTTTTATTTTTCAGTACCAATTATTGACACATACTTCTTCGCTTTACACAAGATATTGCTTCTTGTTAATAAAATATTGAAGACGACTTTTGAATTTCTAGCATAAATGCTGCGGCCATACTTAATACGATGATAATGAACACTTCTCCCCAGAATCTCTTGTGGGAATGCTGCTTCGAAAACAATTTCTCTTCTTCATTCATTCATTCTCATTCGCATTCCCTGGTAAAGCACTTTGCAGCAAACTAGTTGCAAATCTAAGATCTACAGTAAAGAAAATTGTGTTAAAGCAGAATTTTCCTTAAAAAAATAACTTTAACATTGAGGAATCAGCATATATACTTACCAGTTTGTGCATGTAGAACATCCATAGTGTAATGTCCACCACAAGGTTACGTTCTGAAACACGTAATTATATTTTCTCCATAGCGAAAACGAAAAATTTGCAACGCATGCGTGTTCAAACAATCAGTGTCTGACAGTTAAATGTCTCTAGAAATGTCTCCTGTCAAGAATGTAAGGTTATAAAATTAGAACGCCCACGCTGACCCAGGTACGTGGGCTCGTTGCGGTCGCTAATAATGACGTCATATCTGACGTCGCGATTGCGACCATAACGACTGTGGTCGTTATGTGGAACGGCAGCCGGGCGTCGTGATCGTTGCGGGCGTTAAGTGGAACGTACCCTAAATGAAATAGGCTGGGAAAAAAAGAACTTGCCAGGAAAAAAACTAGCAGACAAATTAATATTAAATTGTGTATCAAAACTAAATGTTTGTAATGATGCATTGTAGGTATAACATAAGTTTATAACAATATGTATCACGTAAGCTTCGAGAGGTGACATAGGTTAAAATAAAGTTTTGAGAACAATGGGTCAGGTAAGCAGATACCAAGATTCTGAGAAACGGTGAAATACACAGGACGTGGTGACTCGTCTGTTGTACAATAAAATCCTGTTTAGAGCAAGATGAAAAAGTACATAGCCTTGTAAGGAAAATTTAATGTTATGAGAAGATATGCGGTAAGGTAATCAGTGAATCGCAACTCATATAATCACACATAACGGGCGATCAAAAATGAGTTGCTGTCGAGTCGCCTTTGGATTTTTAAGATAAGTACGATTTGCCTTGTAAACAAAAATTCCAAAGGTGACTCGACAGCAACTCATTTTTGATCGCATGGTATGTACCTTAGGGCCGGTAGGGCCGGTATTATAAAGCCCGCTTGAACGGAGATTGGCGTTCAATCGTAGTTTGAGTGCGATTGCGAGTATTATAAACGCCGTTTAAGTCGTAACCAGAGCTCAATCTCCGATTGTAGTCAACCCGCCAATTTTCTCGGGTTTTGGCGCCCAAACGGAGATTAAGCGCGCGCACGTGTGAAGAACTGTAACCAGTTTATTTTGTTTTGTCATTGTTTCTATTTATAATGAAATGGAAATAATTGAAATTGGACGTGCAAGAGATCGGTTACCGTGGGCAGTAAGCGACGATGACTCTTCATCAGAGGATGAGTTCATTAGAAGAAGAGCAGAAATTTTAGAGAACGTGTTGATCATTTCGGCAAGTGATTCGAAGAGGAATTTCGGCAAGTGAGATGAAGAGGAATTTCGGCAGAGATTTCGGTGATCCAAGGATACTGTTAGATCCCCATAAAACAGGATTCGAGCACTAAATTGTCCCCCAAACAAACAAGTAGGTTTGTGCTTTTCTATGGAAATTCTATTATTTTTGCGAATTTACGCAACTGGGTGTGTTAATTAATTAATAATTGCCCATCGATGGTGAGGCTGTCGTCACCAGCTCTAGCTTCATTACCAGTAAGGTTTTTCACTGTGCTAGATCATATTTTGTCTTCAGTTACTCAAATGTGGCTCAGTCAATGCAGCGTTATACTTCTCTGCAATTTTCTTCCATGCGTGTGTGCAGTATAAACACAGAATTATATAGATGCAAACAAAAAACTCACAAGTGATGACATCCTGATGCTCTACCTTGTTCTTGGTAGTAGAGGCGTCCGCCCGTTTATTTTCAATTATATGTAAATATGACTGAACGCAGTCCGCTTGCTGATGGGCGTACGCGTCCGTAAATTTCCCTTGTCTATCATTGGCACAGTGGCAGGCAAAACAGCGCTATGTAAAACGATTTAGCACGGGGATGAACAGATCAGCACAGTTACAGTGGCAGGGGCAAATGGCACAGAAGCGAAAAGAACGAACGGCGCGGGCGCGATGGGTGCGAAGAACGTAAACGTCATCAGCTGTCACTGTCAGCTGACGCATCGGCCACTGAAAATTCTGCGCCCTGATTGGTCCTCGGTTCGCCCGCAGTGTTACCATCCTAGGGATCGCAAGCTCAAACGGAGATTAACCAAACGCTCTTCCCAAGGTGTTTATAATACGCAACCGCTCTCAATCTTGGTTTGACATTCAATCGCCGTTTGATTAATCTCCGCTTGAACTGTACTTTTATAATACCGGCCCTAAGGGTTCCCGGTTTAAATCCGGGTTCTGGAATGGGTGTTTGTAAATGTATAGTTTTTACATCACGAATATTTTAAATTTACATTTAGCTGTAATATTGGTCTTACGTCACTGACATAATGTAATTAATAATAATAATAAGCAATTAATAGACAGTAACAAACAAGACATATTTTGGTATAGTACTTGTTTTCACAATAATAACTAATTAAATTCTAAAGTAAAATGTCAAATATCAGTAGAAGAGTAAAAAAAATAACTAAACATTACAGTTATTATCAAACAAATCTACAGGAAATAAAAATTTTTTAAATTTTTTTTGAATTGATAAAAGTTTGATCAAACCATTTGTCTCAAGCCATACAATGACACAAAATCAGTTAAAATTGTTATTTATGCACCAATTTTGTTGGGAAACGACTATTCTTCTGATTCTATGCATTTCTGGTGACGAAAAGAATTTCATCCAAAAATATATGAAAGTCGCAATTTATTAAGGATCGACCAATATGGCATTGCTATGCCTGAAGGCTGATACTGATAAAATATTGGCGTATCTACTTTTTTTTTGGTTTTATTTATTTAGTTTTATTTTTGGTTTTTATTTTGAAGTGGCCAGGGTTTCAGACAAGGCTGCTCTACCCATCCAACCCACTATACATTTACAAAAATCTATGCGCGTATTCAGATTCGAACCGGGGACCTTTAGTACCGCAGTCGAGCTTCCACACCACTGCGCTATGCAGGCCATATAATTTAATGAAAAAAAAAACATTTGAACGCTCGCCAGATGTAGCCATATTGTAATATTTTAAAGATTTCAATTTCGTTTAGGTTGCGAGAAATTGTGAAACACCGTCAAGTATTTTCCAATTTTCCATGTTTATTATTTGTTATTTCACGACTGGGGACCCGGTGGCGACACGTCTTATTACGGCCGTACATTTTTAATTAACACGTTGCAGTCTTTCTTCTGGTATTTCTTACAGCGCTTGATCTCTTCTTCTATAATTTTGATTTTTTTGTCCATCATCTTCTGAGTTAGTTTATTTTTGGTTTCCAATTCCTTGATAGCAATGTTTGAGTGCGTAAAGTAAAACCGCTACATAAACAGAAGTGATAATTAGAGGTTTTTTGGACGCTTACTCGCAGATAAGCGAGAATGGTGCATTTCTCATTAAATTCTTTGACAATTTCCAGTTTATAAAATTCCGTGACAATCCCAGGTTTTCCCGATTATCCCGTTTTGTCGCCACCTCGTAATTATGTATCATTAATATCGGTATCGGTCAATCCCTACTATTTATTATGCACCAATTTTCTTGGGAAAAAGACCACACTTGATTGCTCAATGACCAAGAAGTGTATTTATGGTGAGAAAAACATTTTTACCCAAAAAATGTGAAAATTAACTTTAACAACTTCACAAAATATCACGCAATTCATCATCAACATCGAGGACCAAGGAACGATAATTTATAAACACTGCTTGTGGAAAGTTGAAGTTTTTTTCAAATAGGATCACAGGACCATGCTCGGGTACTTATAACTTTCCTGACCCGGTGCCCACTATTTGCCAAAAGTCAACGTGTTGAGTTTGATAAGTGTTTAGGCAAAACAATAGATTGAATTACAACATATCAACTTTTATCAACTACATCTCCCCATGTACTCTTATCTCACAATAGCTACTGTACAAAGTATATCCGATTCATTCGCCACATTTTAAAAATTAGAATGTTTGTACTTCCTATCAATTGTTCAAAATTTGTGATCATGACTAAAGACAGACCAATGTAATTACGATGTTCTAAAAAGCCTTTCACTACATATTATTTTTTACATCTCATTTATACTGTTGTTAGAAGAATCTCCTCAGTTTCTTTTGATTCTCAGCCTAAACTATATTCAATTTACTATAGGATTTATTATTAATCGAACATATTACATTTGTTAGCGTATATCCTTGTGCAAGATTTAAAAAGACACTATTTTATGTTACATTCATCACGCAATATGGCGGGCGTATCAGTTGCCCTTTATACAGTACAGTAGCTGTGATCTTGTGTATATCTATCTAATTTAAATCATACTGTGGAAGATCTCATACTTTTGCTCATTTGAATGTGTTGTTCAGTGTAAGGTGTATAATATTACAGTTACCTAATGGAGATTGATCGTGTAGCGGCTCCTGATTATCTTCCAACAGAGCAAGACATTCTTCGTGTGAGAGTACCAACAACAGGCATCATTGAATATCCATTTGATTTGGATGAGATTCGGTTTAGGTAGGATTGCATCGAGCTGTTTCATGCCTTTATGCAATGCTTTAGCATGGTCTTTCTATTTTCAGCCTCCTAATGATGAACTTTTGTATTGGTGCTTTATTTATATCATTTGTATTTAATTTGCATGTTGCATGTGCTTTTATTACAGTTATCTTAGCGATTTGGAGCGTATAGGTGACCCTGAATATTTACCGACTGAGCAAGATATTCTGCGCGCGAGGGCACCTACCACCGGCATTCTCGAATATCCGTTTGACCTTGACTCCATTATATTTAGGTATGCGAGAAGTACATAATATTTTAATGTAATCTTTTGAATTCCCCACAGGATAAAGGCTAATAATTCCAAACAATTTCATAACAGTAATTATAGGCCCATTTAACAGTTGGTTATATTAAATGTGGTAAAGTAGAAGTCTTAAAATGTAGTACTTAAAAATGTATAATTGAGGTGCATGCAAGTTTTGATCTTCAGTTTCGTACAATCCTATTAGCGAATTTATTGTACAGCACTTGAAGAACTTTCTATTTGAATTTCTTGATATTGTATCCAGCATGCATTCGTCTACAGAATGTGCTAATAGTGTTCTGCCTTCACATTTGGAGAAATAAGATAACACAAATAAACAAGAATGGTGGTAATAATTTCGTTGGGAAAACTCAAATTTATGACTCAATTGCTAAATTTATGCTTCAGTATTAATCATGTTTTCCAAAATCTATACATAGACTTCAATTTAATTGCAGAAAAGGTCAAACGTATGGGTTAAATACCAAAGAACTAAAAATATGCAGATGTGATGTACAAACTTTATCTTAGATGTATTCGGTCCTTATAGTAAAGAACTAAAAACTTTTGCTTTATTATGTATCCTACAGTCGCTCACTAAAATCGCACCCCCCTTCGCAACACCAACAATTACCACGACGAGGTCATCTAGTGTTAATGGAGATCACCGAAAAAGTAACTTACTTATAAACTTCCAAAAAGTGCTCACGAAAAAAAACGATTTTTTTGTCTACTGTTTATCCTCTCCTTAGAAATTTTACAAACAGCAACAACATTAGTCTCACTTTCCAATCAAATATCGCCAATATTACTACAGAAAACCATGCTACAATTATTTACACACATGTCTGCTTGTAGTTGCATTGAGGTTCGGTTTTAAACACATTTGTCATCTATTTTTTAACAAAGATTTTCTTCTCAAACTTCTGTCATCCATTCAAGCAAAACACTTCTCTATCCATCCACTAAGCTGCTCATTCTCTTCATTGTGATTTATACCTTAAATAGATCTGAATGTTGTAGATGGATTGCAGAGTAAAGAAAAGTGTTGCCATCTAAGCTGAACTTGGTAGGGTTTTTCTAATTTCTTGTGATATCTTTTTGCATTTGAGCTCACAATTTTGTTTTTGGCAACAATTGAATGCTTCATTTTGCAATGCTTATAACATTTTATTGCATGCTGCTGCGGCAATTATCAAATTTTAAGTTTGCAAATTACTATGACTCTTGCCATATAAATCTTGAATTATACTAACCACCTTATAAATACTATACGCACATGCTCTATTTATTTTTTGAAATGTTCTTTACTTGTCTGCTCACTTTTCTTGTTATTTTACAGAATGGTAGATGTCGGGGGACAAAGATCGGAAAGAAGGAAATGGATTCACTGCTTCGAGAATGTAACATCTATAATTTTTCTAGTAGCTTTAAGTGAATATGATCAAATCCTTTTTGAATCTGAAAATGAGGTAAGCTATTATTTATTTGTAGTGTTTTTGCAAGCCTAGCAGGTCACAGATTTTGAGAAAGTTTATATAAGCTCATAAATCAAGCGATTTTTCGTTTGAAAAACTCAATTTACTTGACTGAGACTGAATGAAGCAATTTTATTAGGTCTGATACCAAATTTATGCATTCAAGTTTCGGGGCCCCTGAGAGATTCACTAGCACAACTTGATCCATATTCCTATTTTGAAATTGCATCATACAAAGATTGTTTCTGTTTTTATTTTAAAATAGAATCATACTAAACGATCACCATTGGTCGCGTTCATAAGACACAACTGTTGTGGAACAGTTACCGATACGTCGCTACTTTACGGAGCAGTCGGCCATTTTTAGTAGCGCTACACTGCGATCACATTCACTGCTACTTTTCACTGGCGATAAAAAATTTATGCACGTCACTGCTAATTCGTGAACAGAAAATGATATTTTTACAATCCACATTGGTGAGAAAAATTATGCACATTGGAATGTCTAAATTGTATTTTATTAAAATACCTAACATAGTTTCTTTGATGTTAAAATAACATTTTGTTTGTTACAGAATCGAATGGAAGAGTCTAAAGCACTTTTTAAGACAATTATTACTTATCCATGGTTTCAACACTCCTCAGTAATATTATTTTTGAACAAAAAAGATTTACTAGAAGAAAAAATTATGTATTCACATCTTGTAGATTATTTTCCCGAATATGATGGTAAGTATTATGCCGCTAACAAGATTAGGGCATGAAAAATTCATTAACTAGACCATAAGTTGTTGTAAACTTGAAATGAATCTGATTCTCTTGCATAGCCCTTAACTTTTGATTTTATTTCTGTTAGGTCCTAAACAAGATCATGTGCAAGCGAGAGAATACATATTAAAAACATATTTACGTGAAAATCCCGATCCAGAACGTAGTTGTTACTCACATTTCACAACAGCGACAGGTCTTTATCCTGTAGAATGCTAACTATCTCTGCAAAGCTTTTATTTCCATTTAAAAATTTCATTTGTAATAGTCTAGCAACTACCACTACTTGTGCTAGATTAGCTAGACACCATACTATTGTGTATGTATTATGATGCTACAATATTAATTGTGTAGGTCCACAACGAGATGCTATTGCAGCTAGAGAATTTATCCTGCGAATGTTTGTAGATCTTAATCCTGACAGCGAGAAGATTATATATTCACATTTTACATGTGCTACAGGTATTTTTTATCCATTATTGTATACTTTGCTTTTTAGATGGCTGCTTTACGGTTTTGCATGTTACTAACAATTGTTTTAACTATTTTTAACTTGCATGCTGCTGTGGATCATTGCAGATACTGAAAATATTAAACTTGTATTTTGTGCTGTGAAAGATACTATTATGCAATCGGCTTTAAAAGAGTTTAATTTGGCATAGTTTGTGTATAATGTTATAATTTTATATTTATTATAAATTGCATGTTCGTGTAATACTAATATTGGTAGTCGTATTAACTCTTGTTTTTTAAGAGAATGTGTTGTACATTATTTCTTCTCTATGTACGGTACTGAGTTATTATGATCTTGCAACATAATGTTGAGTAGATATGCACTGTGTTAAATTACTTTTTTAATTATTGTTAAACGATATTGTACATACATTGTGGTATATTATTGCAAGTATTTCAAATTTATTTGCTTATGTACAAAGGCTTAAGTTACTACTTAATTGAAATAAAATTACTCCTTCCTCTTTAAAACGAACTCACTGTGGATAAGTTCATGTGCAGTGGAAGTAAAACTAACTGCCTCTACAGAGCATTCCTTCTTCATTGGTGGTATGTATTTTCCCTTTCAAGTAATGCGAGTTGTCGCCTCTGGAGTGTAGTGCAATTTGAGTTGCCTATCCTTACGTTAGCGTTTTGATTTTTTTCTGAAGATCGCGATACATATTTTTGAAAATATATATGCATTATCATAATAAGTGGAAATAATATCTTTAAGTACCGCCGTAGGAAATACTGTCGGATTTCCAAATTGGTGTTGTACGTTTTTCTACTCCCATTCAACGGCTGTTATTTACGAAAAACGATTTCTCTATTCATCGATCTTTCTAAAAAACTAAGACCGATATTTCAACTTTTTTTAAGTACCCCCGTTCTTTTCATCATTGCCAAGAATATCCACTATCGAGAAATTTTTAGACTTCAACTACAAAAGCAGCATTTCATAAGAACGTTTAGCTATTTTTTCCAATTGATTACAGAGGAGCCTTAATTAGACATACATATATTCGGGTATAACGTCAATATGATTTCAGTGTATTTCCCTTATTTTTAAATTAAATTGCAGGTATAATAAAAAATACTATAAGAAACACTTGTTATAATTGGTCTTTAAAGCACTTGCAACGTTTCAAGGCGCTTCGCGTCGTGCCCTTAAACTCGTTGCGCATGCTTTAAATACTTGATTATGTCTCCTAATATACTATTGTACTAGGTATAGTGAAAATGTTAAAAAAGATATACAGTGCCTTTATGCCAAAGGTAACAAATTTGTTGAGGTTTTTATGCCCTGAAAAAATCAGCGAACACGTTAATCTTTATTTTCACTTGCGTTTTTTTTGCAATGAAAATGTTGTATACAGAGTATATAACGTCAGCATTAAATTGTTTAAATTGAACACCCTGTATATTCTGAAAATTTGTGCGATATATTCTGAATACTTCTCGTACAACATAGCCTAAAGTCGTTAATTTTTCAAATATCACTTCATTTTCGTCAAGGCCGCCTCATCACTATTGTGCAATAAAATAATTATCATATTTGTTCATTCTCACACATTCTACGTAGCGTGGAATGTGGCCTAAAACCAGAAGTACTCATACCATCGTTCATAATATGAATTTTCAAATTCCCATGTCTGGGTAAAAGAGAGATTTAATCCTGCATCTTAGTTCAACGCAACAAAATATGCAATTGCCTTATGAATCTTGAAATCAACTCCAAAATATCGACTGGATTCACTTTTTGATTACTCAAAAATCGTCGACCATTATCCCCTTTGTGAACAGATAGCTATTTCCGAATGTGGACTGCACACCTTTTTTGTTTGGAGAGAGTGAAGCCTTCTATATATATCCTAAATATTTTTAAGACGGATTTGTGAGTAGGTACTGACATTCGTTTTATTGGAGAATAAAATTGGGGTTTTATTTTGATTTCTTCGTGACAATCAATATAGTCTCCGTAAATGGTTCGTAATGTGTAGGTGTATCCACTCATAAAGATCTACTTGCAATTTTATACAGCCAATCTTACATCCATTTTTAACTTTACGGCCCAATGAAATATCTAATTGTTTGGTACTAGTTCAGATTAAACCAGAAGTACTATGAAATTTTAGTATTAAAACCATTGGATTCCTTATACAGGGTGAGTTTTTTTTTCATTAGGATCTCGGAAACCGTAAGACATAGAGATTCGGTTAAATGAGGAAAGAGTTGTAGTTTTAAGATATGCTTTTGTTTTTTAAAAAATCCACAGTTTACTAGATATGAGCGAAAAACAGATTTAGTGATTTTTCATTTAACTGTTGTAGAATCGTTAGTATTAGAAATACAGAAATATGCAAAGAACAAAAAGTGTAGATTTTTTTCCACTTAATAAGATACATTTATTAATATTTGTTCTTCTTTTATAATTTTCGAGTTATAACGCAAACTTTTTTTAAATGGTAATCATAGTTGGCTGTGACATTTTTAAAAAGTGCATTTTTTTCTGTTTACAATGATATAAGGTTCATTGTACTTACTTTGACAAATAAACATGATACACAACCGTTCGCATTATTAACAGCAGTAAAAACAGAGTTTGCCATGGGAAACATTTTTGTTCTCTTAATTATAATTTCCTCCTCCTATTATAATATTTATAACTTGCAGTTAGTTGTGCGGCGGGGCACCGTTGTTTTGAAACCAGCGTAAATTACGTCGGGTTTCCAAATCTATCCCATCCTACATATCTTGAAATTCATTTGGTAGAAAATGAAGATAACATTGGCGTGTCCAATTTTCGTCGTAAATGAAAGCGACCTATCTCACTAGATATTGTTTTCCATGGCCAACTCTGTTTACTTACCTCTCAATAATACGAAAATTACTACAGGGCGTTTATTTATTAAAGTACATTTACCAAGCCTTATGTCGTTATAAAGAGAAAAAATTGTCCTTTTTAAAAATGTCAAAGCCAACTATGACTACCATTTAAAAAAATTAAAGTTTGTATTATAACTCAAAAATTGTAAGATCTAAAAATAAATTAGTATATTCTTTATGTTAAGCATTAAAATGTCTAAAACTTTTATTCGTGTATTTTTAATAATAACGATTCTACAACAGTTAAATGAAAAATCACTAAATCGTTTTTCGCTCATATCTAGTGAACTGTGGATTTTTTTTAAAAAACAAAAGCATATCTTAAATAAGCTCTTAAAATGACAACTCTTTACTCATTTAACCGAATCCGTATGTCTTATGGTTTCCGAGATCCCAATGCTTAAAATGAAAAAAAAACTCACCCTGTATATATTGTGCACCAGTGAGAAAGTGATCAAATAGTGTCCACTATATTTACTAAAGTTTAATTGTCTTACGGTCTAGGTATAACTCTTTCACCAGTAAAACTTTGATGCTATTGTTATTATTACTGAGCATACTCTGCATATCATGCATGTTCTCTGTGCTGTTAATAATAATGTTATCTAAGTGTTAGTGGATCATGATAACTCTTTGCGATGTATCTTTTTTTGTAATATAAACAATGACAAAGATAAGTTTGTTAAACAAATTTAATTTGCAGATACTGAAAATATCAAGTTTGTTTTTGCCGCTGTGAAGGATACTATACTACAGTCTAATTTACGTGAATACAATTTGGTGTAGGAATTCATCATATATTCCATTGTGATACAGTGTGAAGTGTAATATAGACTAACTCAAGGACCTAAATGTGATGCTTTCTTTTATATACTGTTAACTAAATTTATTATGTCCCAGTGTGCTTAGGTTAGGACGATCGTTGGAACTATCCTAGTTCACTTTGCCTAGTATAGTTTCCTTCGATAAATTAAAGCCAAAGCGTTTTTTAAACAGTGCAAATGTCACTTGCAGCCATAATTTAACACTGTTACAATTAGAAAAATTATTGTAGAGTAGTATTCAAAATACTGCAAAATTCTTTTATATACAAACGTGTAATCTGTATTTTCTTGTTTATTGGAAATTTGGTGCTTCTGTATCATATTTAGTAGCGCTTAATCAAAATTATCTTACTCACTGGTCATTTGTGACCCTTCCAGTAAACATAAACGTACGGATTGTTACTTTATAAGCCAGCATATTAATGCCTAGTTGGCTTTGATTGAGTAATATTTATTTAATGTAATAGCAAATATATTCAATATATGCATAGGTGCTTGGTTCTGTTTCAGTGTACCAGGTGAGAATGATGTGTAATTGTGAAAAACGCACATTTGTAAATCATTTCTTTTATGATTAGAGATCTTTCTGAATTGTCGTTTTTATTTATTTAAGAGATAAAACCAAAATTCCCACAATTTCCAGGGTGCAAAAGATTTAGAGTTTTGTCTTTGTCAAAAGTAAGGGAAGTTGGACGTGAGGACCAATAAGAATGGTAGGTAACTATCGTAGAGTATAACAAAGATCAAGCTCGGCTAGTTCATTATTAGGAGGACTGTTCAAATTATAAGGGTTTAATCTAGGGGGAAACAAGTTCCATTTTTGGTGGTGTACACCAAAAATTCCAATTCAAATTAATTCACGTTAATTCAAATTAATTCCGAAAATTCACGTTAATTCATATTAATTCACGTTAATTCAAATTAGTTCACATTAATATACATTAATTCAAATCAAAAAATGTGTTTTGCGCATGCGCAATCCGATTTTTTCGACATCTCCGTTAGTTATGAACCGAATTACATGAAATGCAGTACGTACGCAACTTGAAGAAAAGTACAACTAATGCCTAAACCAAAAATTGTTTCTTTTTACATCTCCGTTAGTTATGAATCGAATTGCATAAAATTTTGTATGTAGGCATCTCGAATAAAAGTAAATCGAATGCGGAAACAAAAAATTTCTTTCGCGCATGCGCAATCCGATTTTTTGACATCTCTGTAGTTATGAATTGAATTGCATAAAATTTTGTATGTAGACACCTCGAATAAAAGTAAAACTAATGTCGAATCAAACAAGTTGCAATCTGGTTTTTTGACATCTCCGTTAGTTATGAACCCAATTACATTAAATTTTCTATGTAGGCACCTCGAATAAAAATAAAACTAATGTCGAATCAAACAATTTCTTTTGCCCATGCGCCATCCGATTTTTTTGACATGTCCGTTAGTTATGAACCGCATTACATGAAATTTTGTATGTAGGCACCTCATCAATGGAGTTAGGGTGCTGAGAGGGAAGGGTACTTCTCCAACATTTGCCTCATAGATTTTAACAAAATGCTAGCATTATGCCAAACACTGACAAAACCCCGGACAGAGCAGTCGGTAGCGGGAATCGAACCCACAACCTCCTGAATAGCAGTCGGCAACGCAACCACTGCGCCACCGGCTTCGCTTTTATTGTGTGCAGTCACAGCGCGAGAAACCTGCTCCTATCGGCGCGATATACCGGAAAGCGAGAAACCTGCTTCCACTCTATTGGTACACTAACGTGAAAGTGAAAAAGATTCTTTTACTTTTGGATTTCTGGAAACATTTTAACAGGTTTTTCTATACTTACCTCATGTCAGTTGTTTTTAGATATCTTAATTTCGTAGAAAATTTTAAAAGATGCAGTTTTATTTTTAACAATGAGCCCTTCATTCATTTTCAATTAGTTTTTAACGCTTCTGAGTTAGACCATTGAATAAAGATTCAGATTTATTATTCAATGGGTAGACGAAAGCACATGAATGATTCTATCAAAATTCACATTGACAATTAATTTATCTTGTGAGCCTGTGCAGCTATAAAAACCTCACGTGACAATTCAATTGTTTATTGTTCCTTATGATTTAGCAGTCTCATACCTTTATTTTAATGTAAAATAGGAAAGAATTAGACATTTTCACTCCCAACTTTTGCAAAGTTCCACCACATCAGTCACCCTAGACATTCTGGAGGCCAAATGATTCTTTAAGAGGACCTCACCTTGGTCATTCTGTTGGTAAGAGTATTTTGCCACAGGACCATTTTTTTGATCGAAAAAGGATTTCAAGTCAGTGCATTGCCAGAACTCCTATGAATCACTAGCTTTCTTTTTTCTAGTCCAATCCACAAGCTCCCAGTTTTTTTAACGCTTTCGAGTTGAAAAAGTCACATGTGGTCCAAGATTTGTTTGTTCCCTCAACTAATGCAGACATACGTATATCTGTGACTCATGTCTTGATTTTGTATGTCACACATCTTGCTTTACCCAATACGAGACTAATTCAAATATACTTTTGGCCATAGGTTTCTTTCGTAATTGATAGTTGCATTCAAATTGTTACTAAGTTTATCCTTCATACGTGTATTGTTTAAATACTTACGATCAATGCAAAATAGCTTTTCCTTTCTAGTACTTATTTCAAATAGATTTCACCCAATTCAATTAAGCCCATATACAAATGGTTTTTTTTTCAAAAATAAGAACCCATCACAGAGCATATTCTATTCTACTGCTTAATAACAAAAGAATGTTAACATTCACCTTTGTTATAGGCAACAGAAACTCCTCATATGTAATGAAACATCATTTAAACATTTTGACCATCGGAATGATACAAATGATAAAAATTTATTGACTTACATCATACACAGTCTATACATAAATTATTTAAATAAGTTTAAATGTTTCATATCCTTAATATACTGTCAATAATAGATGGGGTAATCTTTTCGATAAGAATACTGAGTTGTGCAACTATTCACATGGAAATAAAAACAAAATAATGTACAAATATTGTATTGTTTACAGAAATACAGATTACTGTATTTATAATAACTTACAACTAACCTTTGACAAATATTACCTATTTTAAAAATACAGCAGTAAACACGAACTCTCATGGTAGTCCTCACACAATATTAATGGAGATAAAAATTATCAATAAAATAAAAAAAAATGATAGGCTATACAAAACTATTCAGATGGTGTGACATTCACAATTGAAATAATGGAATGATTTAAATAAACTTTCGTTCTTCTTTTTACGATGGCGAGATGGGAGAATTTATGCATCTAGAATGAAAAACAAGAATTAATTGCAGAGGAAATTATATTGACCATTGCATATGAAATTGAAAAGATTTCTCAAGTATTTTAGAACTTTCTTCCAAAATTAGCGCGCAAATACTATAAATGATACAGTAAGGAATACTTTTTCAATTCCAAGACCTAAAATTTATTAAACCTACGAATTTAAAGATATTGTTAATGAACAAACCAGAAAATAGTGTGTTGTGGTATAACTTTAGTGTTGTAGATACCTACAATCCAAAAACGTTTCTTATATATCACAAATTGTGAAAACATGATGTCAATCTTATGGTAAATCCAATATTGATCCGACAGGCCAATAATTTCCCAAGGTTAGGTTCCACAACAATGACGATGTTTACGCAGCATGGTTCTTGCAGATCTGATTTGAAGCATAAACGTTCAAAATTGATCGGATATCATGCTTCAACTCAATCCGACAAAATTAGGAAATTGAGTTCAACGTATCTATTTTGGAATAGTGCGCCAGATGGCATTGCCGATTATAGAGCATGGCGTGCACGTTAAAATTTCCTTCTTTTCTTCACGATTAATTAAAAGCGTGAGAGAATTGGAAAACATGACGCCGCCCAAAAGACCCGAGTATGTGCATGCAAGATACTTATCAGCATTTATATACTATTGTTTATTAAATGTTATCAGCCTCTTTTTTGGATTTTGCAAGTATGTCTAATAAAAAAAGACGCATCATACACGTCTATAACATTATTCCTAATCTCCATCTTAAATGATGCAATCCTACTCATTCTGCGCTATATCTTACAGGTACATTAACATCTCATTTTTCCTGTCAATATCCAATTATCCAAAAAATCACTTATCTGCACACCCTAATCCCCAATTCTTCAAGGTAATCAACTCTCTTACTGCATTTTTAATCATTGGTTTAATTATCGTGTTTGAAACTGGACATTACTGTCTGAAAAAACTGCACTCAATAGAAGTATGGGCAGTTGTTATCTACATGATTAACTTACCTATGCCAATACACCTACTGATGATAGCTCAGTCATACATTTTTCAACTACTTGGTTCTCAAATTCTGATCAAATATTGCATGAACGTTGTTCTTGATATGACATTCACACATTGGGCCTCGCTTGGTGACTTAAGATGTCAGATTAAGATGAATGATCGCCTATTACTTTTTATTGAAAATACTTACATATGGAGTTACAGCGACGTCGGAAGTATGGGTCACCCCCTCTAAGAATGAGTAGATAAGTCATTCAAAAGCGATTAACACATCTTCTACTGCATGTGCATGCAGAAATTTTTTATACTTGCTCTTCTTTACAATGCTCAATAGTGCAATAAATGTATGTTCTAGTTCTTCATAATTTTTTAAATAAAATATTAATGATCTATGGCTATGGTTTTCTCAATCGAGTCAAGTATCTCTGAGTTGCTCAGTTGCATATAAGTAGACATCCTCCGACACTTTTTAAAATCTTTTTTCTAAACTTTTCTTTCAAATAGTACATTATATATCAAGGTAGAGAAGTCCACTATTATTGCCTGAGCACCAAGATTACATCTCGAGGCGCTTGCGCCGAGGGGTGTAAGGTGCGAAGGCAATAATAGACTTCTCTACCGTGGTATATATACTATTTTTTTCACTACTAGCACTTGAAATCCTCTAAATTAACATATTATATTGATAAGAGAGTTAACGGTTGGACAGAATTTGTTTGTTTCTTAATTTAGCATGTCAATCAAGTACGTGGAAGTACAAGTCAAACAGGCCGTATTTTGTTCTGTCATTGAGATTTTTCAAAGAGTAATTTCGTTCGAATTTTTTCAAAATGTGATAATTTTAGGTATGTAATTTCTCTGGAAATTGCGAATGGTGGTGATTCGTTTTAGAGAACTTGTCTAAACGTTCATTGAGCGAAATTTCGGGTTGTGTTTTCTAAAAGTGACAGCGTGACAGTTCTCATTATTGACTACTAGTTAATAATAAAAAATTATTAACCACTTTGAACAAATGCAGAGAAAGCCTACTTTACAAGTGGAAAAAAGGTTAATAATCATGTCATCAGACGCTAGTAGTGAAAAAAATACATTATTTGATTGATTAAATAAACAGGTTTCAGGGTCACTTCAAAAACCCACTGCTATGCATTAATTCGTACACAATTTTGCATGGGACGGCCCTTTCAGACTCCATGGTCGCTGATTTTTGCCCCCCCAACCATTATTCACTTCCGACGTCGCTGTGGAGTTACCTTCATGTACACAGAAGACACATCCATTGTTGTAAGCGCCAATGACTATGACAGTGTGAGACAAATATTAAGACCTGCGATCTAAGAATTTTTAGAATGGTACAACAATAGAAAACGGAACATCAATTCATATAAGATATAACACGAAAACCATAAAACATAAGAATGAATATTCTTTTCCTAAAGGGGAATCACAAAATTATCTATTGCGGACTAAGGAGTAGTATTAGATGGTTATTTTACACAGATTCAAATTGAAGATTGAATATACTTGCTCAAAGGTAAATAGATCGTTTTCACACTGCATAAATTGTTTTGATAGAAACAGAAAACCTACATTTACGTGGAGCTTCTCACCATTGTAGATGATCTGTGAAAGTATGGTGATGTATAGCTACTCGGCAAAATTCAAAATTCCATTGTGGACGAATTTAAAAAAAAAAGGAAACACTAAACTTGAACTCTGTTTCTTAAAACAATAAAATTCAACATGTTCTTTGAAAAAACTATAAAATCGCGACAAGTGCTACACAACAATTTAAAAAATAATAGTGTTCCTTACCAGAAAGAATTTTATTAGCAGAAATAGTATGTAAACCTTCATAAAAATTTGGTTCTTATCAAAAGGATTTGAAAACTTCGAAAACTCACAGTTCCAACATCTGCTACTACGAATACAAGGGACATTATAATGAAAAGAATATTAGCCACTATTTTGTTGTTATTTAAGGGGACGTAATCTAAAGAAACGAAGTTGGCCTTACTATGAGGGTTTACCTAAAAAAATCAGAAATATTAGTCATTAAAAATTAAAGGATTTAATTTGTGTATGTAATACTACATATATTAATCTGAATAGTGATTGGAAAATATTTGAAGAATAAATCTAACTTCCTCAATACCATTAAGGTCAGATTTAATCAAACATTAAAATACAGTGCATCCAAATTTTTTTTATCATCATGCATCAAAGAATGCATGATGTGAAGAGTTCACTTTATGAGGACCCTAATGATCTTTCACACATTAGAAAGTTACAAATCTTGAAATTCACCTTTCCACTATTTAAGTGCAAAAAACCTTTTCTTTTCCAATATGCAAAATTCAGCTCAGTGATCATAGTAGAAAGACGTAGATTTACAATGAAATCACCTCCAAACGACTCGATCTTAACCACATTTTTTTCTCTTTTTGTTCTTTACCATGTATGAAAATTATTACATTAAAAAAATTACGTAAATACAGAAAATTTGAATTGCGACAAAGTTACCAACACCATAAACATTAGTTAAAAAAAAATTAAGAAAGTGCAATTGAAATAAAAATGAATTTCCACCAAGTAACACAATTTTCTGTAATAATGCTACAAAATATTCTGTACGTCAGAGTGTTTCTTACCAGTAATCTTATCAGTTACATTAACAAGATTTATACATGGATGGTGCCAGACACACTGGTGCAGTTTTGAGCGATTTTAAACTTAAGTTACTTGGTGGCGGCACAAGTTTGTTACGACTGGAGTTAATTTGAAAAACTTTTCTTACCTTATTAAAGGAAATCACATTTATGAAGACTTAATAAGGTTGGTGTCTTTGGTTGCGACCGCCGCCACCACCCGCTGCACCACTGCCTCCGCCGCCACCGCGTTGTTTACCACCAGTGTATCCTCCGCCACCACCGCCTGCAAAATCAGTCAATAAAAACTGCTTTAAAAATTAATGCTTTAAAACCGGAAAACTAAAAATTTGCTACTAACACACCACAGTAGTCACAAACAATATTAATATAAGGCACACATGCCAATTAAAATTAACATTATATACAGTTTCTTGGCAACAGTGGAAATCTTTTTTATTTACAATCAATTTTTACCATTTTGTAAACTAATCGGTTGGCAGCAACAGTACAATACTCACCATAACAATAAATATTGGCTCTTATTGATTTTAAGTTTTGAGTTTCATTTCATATGTAAGACAAAAATTTTGCAAAAAAATTAAAATCTACAGGAAGGCAAACTTTTTGGTATTTATAAATTAGTTGTGCTACACACTAACAGAAAGTGTGATCGATACCTTTGCCACGTGAACCGCTCCGACCACTGCCATATCCACCATCATAGTTATTGTATCCATAGTCTGCCGCCACAAACAAACATATTAATGAAGTAGAGAGGAGAACGTTACTTAAAATATATATTAACTTTTGTAACCATTCCTCAATTGTTTCAAACATGCAAAGGATGTAACAACAGGAGAAAAGATTATGAATGGCTAAAATGGATACTATTAGGAAACTGACAAATCCTTTATTCCTATCGAAAATGTCTTAACATTTTATTTTCACAACTGGTTAAAATGTAAACTGCCAAAAATAATGTGTTTTAAAGATAAACATATAAAATAAAACTTAAAGCTTAAAACAAGTTCTGCACAGATAGCAGAAAATCAGTGCTCCGAGCTCTACAGTTGCATTCTTTAAACTACTTATTATTAACAGTTGTTAAAAGCTATTTACCATAGTTGCCATAGCCGGTATAATCATATGCTCCATAACCACCATAACCACCTCCGTAATAGTCATATCCGCCACCATATCCATCGTATCCACCGCCATATCCTTGTCCATAGCTACCATAATTTCCATAACTTTGATTTCCCCAATTTTGCCCACTACCATAATTGCCCCGTCCTCTGCCGCGACCCATTCCACGGCCCCCGCCACCACCGCCCCTTGAACCTCTCATTCCCATTCCCATTGGATCTGGTTTTGGTGTCGCTTTTTTTACATCAACCTATACACACAAACAGATAGGAATCAGCCAATGATAAACAGAGCTAGATAAGAGTTAAAACAATAAGTCATCAGCTGGCCTTTTCTCCTCAATAGATAAATCAGTAGCAGAACTGACATATCAAAAATCATCATTAAAGTGTTCGCATAAATTAAACAAACTTCGTAAAAAGCGTACCTCTTTGTCTTTGATGGTTTGCTTAGGTGTTTTAAGTAATTCGTTAACCACTTGTTCTGAATCAAATGTAATAAAGCAAAATCCTTTCCTTTGATTTTTGGTTTTATCAAATGGCATCTCAACTTCGACAATCTAAAAAAATACCATAAAACTAAAGCGTACTTCTTCAGACATTATCGTGCTACTTACATTTCCAAACTGCCCAAAATAGCCTTTAATGTCATCATCGGCTAATTCGTTTGTCAAACCGCCAACGAAAATTTTCCCGTGTCTTGCTTTGGCTTTCTTTGGATCCACTTTCTTATTGTTAATGACATGATCTCCAGCGCTCACTACTTTGTCAATTGCCTCTGCAGTGTTAAAAACAATAAATGCAAATCCCCGTGATCGGCCTGTGTTCGGATCTGTCTTAACGTTTATGCTTTCGATTTCACCGTAAGTTCCAAAATGGTCTCTCAGTTCCTCTGTAAAAGAAATAAGAAATGTAACCTTTATAAAATTCGTAAACATGTTAGTAGTGGCATGCTTTGTTCTAGAGATGTAACGAAGGTTCAATTCAGATTCCGAAAGAGTGGAACATCTGATTCCGACAAATTTTAATCGAATGTTAGATCGGAGGTTGATAATAGTTATTTATGCAATGACTGTATAAATGAGGCGTTTTATTGGTGAGATCGCTGCGCTCGCGGACTAAATTCGAACGAACCAATAATCGCCGATTTATACATGAATTGCATACAATGTTTTTTCGTAGACTTCACTGGGGTAGGTAATTTTAAATTCAACTACAAGAAATTACAAACGAGATTATGAGCTATGATTTTTCACTAAATTACAGCTATTGTCGTTGCTATAGTAATGTGTTGTTTTATGCTGTGCCGTCAGTCCTCGTAATCGCACTGGAAAATTATGTTGCTTGGTCTGCTGCGGAGGCGATTTTAACATAATATCCACTCAAATCAAAAGAAACTTATTGGAATGGTTTCGATCAGTTCGGCAATTAATGGAATACAATGAATTTGTAAGGAGATATTTCTGAAAATGTCACGTTGACATTTTACCTTGAAAAGGTATGTGAAATTAGAATGTAATTAATTCTTTTGCAACTGTACTAAAGTACGTGTATTAACAGTGGAAGATATGAAAAAGGTTCATCCCTGTGGTTGACGTACTCAATGTTGAAGGTAAAGTAACTGAATACCTTAATACCTTATCCGAGAAGCTACACAGAATATGCTTTGCCAAGATCGTTGGCGACCATACTGGCTGCTGATTTCACTACATTAACACCGAGATTAAAATGGTTAGGTGGATGGAAGTTCTCTGCTGTTGCCGAAAGTGAATTGTTATATAAATGTCATTTCCCTTTAATATTGTTGTTATGTATAATGGTTATATATAAGTGGTTGCTAACGATTAATGGTTGCTAACGTGTAATGGTTTCTAACCATTAATGAGCTTAATTGTTACACCTGTAACTAAGGTGTAATTTATGTTGTTATCGAGAGGTCGACGTTGTTTATAATTGTCACGCAGAGAACTTTCCTCACCCCGTGCGCTTCTGTTGATTACCTTTTCACTTGTTGTGTTCATTAAGTATAATTTGCTTCTTTTCGAGTCACTTGATTTCATCTATTTACATATTAGTATGGTTTAAGATGTGACATGTTTCTTCTGCCTGCGATTACGGTTCCGATAAATAAAATTAATAACTCCGATTTCAGATTCCGAATTTGGTTCCACTTCCATTACATCCCTACTTTGTTCTATCGATTGCGCCTAATATAAATTTTATAAAACAGAAACAGAATATTAAAACAATTCCCATAAGTAAGACAAAAGTAGTCATTCTTATTTTTTTAAATATTCCGTTAAGATGAATAATGAGATCTGCAATTTGCTCATAGAAAAGTAGCAAATCAATATTTGAATTTACTGCTTTTAGGTTATTTGGGTATAGGACTTTTGGCGGTAAAATGTTAGATAAACTAGGAAATAAACCTTCCCACAAAATTGAACAGGAATGTATTGCTTTTCCATCCACTAGTCACTTACTAGAGATGTGATGGAGGTTCGATTCCGATTCAGAAAGTTCGGAACTCCAGCATGATTTTGCACCTTCGGTTTCCATAAATTTTAATCGGAGCAAAGTAATGTACTATTCAAGTGTTAATTCATAACTGTACTTTTTGACGCATTCTATGCACTACTATTACATGTCGATGGAAATAAAGAGTATTATTATTATTATTTCAACTATTTTTTAGGTATCTTTAAAAATGTTGAAAGGGGTACCCTTCTACCAATTTGGACTGATTGGAAAGGATTTCTGGGGTAGATAGAAGTGTGAACTATAATTTGTATTTTGGCCTACCCCCTGATGGCACTCCAGATATTCACCGCACGTTTACATAGCAAAGCGTGACTGTTTAGTGTTATACACTGTGTCCAAGATCAGGACGTCTTAACATGAGGACCTCAGAAACCGTAGAAGATAATATGACGTTGGTTAAATTAGAGAAAAGATGTGCAAAAAAAAGTGTTATTCCTTAAAGAAAACCAAAAATTCTAATTACTTCCAAAGCTACGTCACAAAAACTGAATTTTGCCGATTCCGTTTTTATTTTTTTGATTTTATTTGAATACAAAAAAATAAAAAACACTCATTGTCACTGTTTGAACTCTAGAAGACACTGTTTAGAAATTTTCAACATGTTTCGTTTCGGACGAATCATTAGCAACTTAATTTTTTTGTATGATCCGTAAATAAAGTATATACTGTATTGAGTAGCATTTTTTATTATGAATACAACGATGTATGGCGCACAAAACAAAAGTTGGAAACTGTTGGTTTCAACAGGATGGTGCACCCGCTCACCCCGCCCTAAACGAAGTCCGTTTTCTTTACTGTATAATAATTACTCTTAAATTGCGCAACTTTTCCCTAATTTGACCATCTTCATATCTTCTATAGTTTCAGAGATCCCATTGATAGACATTCTTATCTTGGACACAGTGTATATAGACAAACTCAAATAATTCAATATTTTGTTAATTCAAAACAATTTGCATAAAATCGTTGATGACATTTGATGTCTGGAGAGTGGAGACCGAACTGGAGATATATTACACACACTAATGTGTCTATATAGAATGTTTTATGTTATATTCAGGCAATATCGGACAATAACATGACAAAAAGTTAAAAATACAAAATTGTATGCTGATCCAACGTACATGAGCTCAAAAATATTTTGTAGTACAGGGTGCTCCATAAACGCTATTTTAAATGCAACAGTCTTAACATTCTCAAGTTAAATCTTTTGTAGATGACAGTGCACTTATTTTAGCATCTTTCCAAAATTTGAAAAAATGCTACAGGGCGTTTGGAATACTCTTAAACCAAGACCTATCTCATTGTTCAAATCAGAAACCCTAATTTTTTCATTTTAAATAATGTAAGAAATAAGCTGCCTTTTAGGAATCGGCCGATACAGCACAGTTTGGCGGATATTGGTATGCATGAAAAACAATAATATCGGCCCATAGGTCATTTTGTAATTAAATTTTTAAGTGGGCGGAGTTTCAGACAAGGTTGCTATAAAACCTAACCCACTATAATACATTTACAAATATCCACGCCCGAACTCTTAGTAGGTACACAGGCTGGTTAAAATTTAATGATAAAAAAACATTTGAACTCTCGCCAGATGTAGCCATAGACGACCGACATTTAAAATAAATAAATTAAAATACTATTTAAAATTTGATAAGTGTTCGATAAATACTACATTGAGATATAAGACAAATATTTGAAAACCAAAACTTGGCGAACAATTCAACATAAAAAAGGAGCTTTTCTTTTAGAGCAAAATGAAATTGGTATTTTCAAGTTTCTGGTTTTGTGTACAGTATTGCAACAAACATCCCTGTAGAACATTGTCAAAGTTTGAAAAGTATGAAAGTAGGTGCAAGCATGTAAAAAAATTTTAATTATAGCATTGGACATTAACGGCCTAGTGTTACCTCAGGTTTAGTACCTGAGTTTACACTTTTATCAAGATTCCGCTAACTCGAGTTATGTAGGTCGATTTATAATTTCAAGTTACTTTTGATGTTTGCCCGAATTAAGACATCCAATGCGTATGCCCGAGTTGACCCAATATGTATACAAGCTGTCTACAGTAATGCCATCTATGTGCATGCCCAAGTTAACTCTTATACGGTATACAGTATACATCTACAAGTGATCTTATTGTGCTGAATAAGTCAGTCATTTGCACAATTCGGTACATGTTTATCCTCTCTAAATGTCTTAGTTAAGTACTAATTAAGCACGTGCTAAAATAAAAATTCATCTTTGTTGTAATAGTTAAATTTTGTTATTATTAACAATGTTTAATTTTTCAGACGTATGGTTAATAAACACAAATATAAAAAAATTGGAATTTTTACCCCAACTTTCCAACAAAAAAAATGAACCTAGCAGTTAATGAAGTAATCTAAATCTAAAGTAATTTTTCAAAAATACCCAATAAGTTTCTTTATGAACAAAAAATGAGCAAATGGTCCATTATTATAATAAAATCATCGTTCACTTTAAAATAACAAAATAGTGTCTCATACCACATTTCTGAAGCACAAAAATACACACAAAATAGTTATTTACATATGAGTATGGTAAATCAAGGTTTACGTTAACGAGTGAAATGTTTACTGCCGAAGCGTAGCTGAGGCAGGAATTTCGAAACGAGTAACGTAAACTGATTTGACATACAAATAATGTAAAACATTTTATTTCATACTGCTCTATTTCTATTAAAATACCATTTTGAGTAGAATGTTGTAGGTACACATTAAAATAAAAGCAAAAGTCGATCACTTGATTTGTTTGATCTGACAGTAGTTTGACAAATATCAATGCATACGTTTAGATGGATGTCAGTTGCGGTTGCTAGGCAAAATTTCCAGTCTGGTAAAAATTTTCAGTCTGGTAAAATACGATTTACCAGACTCAAATCAGTCTGGGAAAGCGGCGATTACTAGATAGTATGAAATAAATATTTTTACCTTATGCTGATTGAACAAGCAAACAATTTTGTATTTTGACTTTTCCTGTGGCATCATCCTATGTAAAGATATTACACCAATGGAACACCCTGTATATAATGCTTATGTCGTGCAATTCTTTTAAATTTTTATTACACCTTTCTCGGAATTTTCCCAGCTTGAGGAATATTACCAGGAACTCTCATAGGAAAATGCCTATCACTACTGAAATGCCTGCAAACCTGAGAGTAGCAAACTGGAAATCAGATGTACGAATGGAATATTTAAGCTATATAAAAAAAATGAAACAATCAGCTTTCCACCAGCAGATTAGAAAGTTTTCTTGCGTTAAGTTGCAGTCCGATGGCACTGTCTAAGTTAAAAAGCCCTTTAAATTAACTTGCGGTTTTTATTATGCAAGCAAATTGTGATAATAAACCTTGCTAGTCACAACATATACGAGACCTCCAGGCAATTTTTCTCAGAAATTTAAATCGGTTACAAATTTTTGAGCAGGAGTGACATGGCTGGAAACACAAAAATGTGGTCTCATATCGAAATTTGTGAGAAGTTCTTCAAAGTCAACCGTAGGCATTTTAAGTGGCCTTGCACAACGAAAACAGAGCTCAAAATGTAATGCACGCGTGTGCCTAAATTGTGCCATAGTGTAAATGGCACCAGAGCAGCTTGTAGAAATAGTATTTGGCAAACATTTACGTTAACATCTTACAGCAAGAATTGTCAATAGCCTATTGCAGTTACTCAAGCGAAAAATATCGTAGGTTGCTTACCAATCTATTCCTGCCATTAGGACGTTAGCAACCCCTTTTATAAAATTGTAAAATTTCATCAATATTGAACATTTGATACAATAGGTCGCTTAAACAAGATGGCAGACTTTTTGTACCTACTTTAGTAATCTTTTACTGTAGGAATCTATGATAGAATTTATTTCCCACATAGTGTGTCCTATTTTGGTTAAATCGTTGCGTTGTATCTCAGCGGTTTTAATGATAAGAGTCGCGACCCTGTACCATTTCTTTGTGGAACTTTTAATGCTTCAAACGGAATCAATCTAGGTACGAGTGTTTCTGAGATACAGGGTGAATACGAAAAATTTGACTTTTTGGGATGTGATCAATATCTGATGATGTTTGGACCACCGTTTCCAGGATTTAGCCCAATGTTACTATTTTTTAAATGCAACACCCCATATATCTCAACGTCAATTATTTGCATTCGTTTTCCTGATTACATTAATGTATCACAACCTACATTTTATGTATATGTCATTCTACATTATGTATATCATATTTTTCAAAATTTTGAAATGACATGTTTCTACCGTTTCTATTGGGGTCACTGGATTCTACGTAAAAATATCTAGAATGGACAGTTTTTACCTTTTTTCTATCTTACATGGGTAGTAAGACACAATAACGTTATAAATCCGAAGGTCGGGTGTTCGAACCTGGGATGAGGTGAATTTTTCATCTGTGGCGGAGATGGAAATTACCTTAGGCCAGTTCCGAGCATTCTACCGGCTACTCCGAATTAGGTTTTCCTGCAGTTTTCCTAATTCGTAAGGTAGGTAAATACCGGAGTAGTATAGACCATCTTAAGACCTTCTGCAGAGGCACCTCTAAATAGCATTATGCGGGTCACTCTGTAATTGGGCGCATGCCTGTTGAGGGCCCAAAACAAGAGAGGGATAATAAAATAAAAAATAAAAAAAATAAAACGTCCCAAAAAATTAAACTTTTTGATTTTATCCTGTATCATAAAAACAAATGTAGCTAGATTGATTCCGTTTCTGGTATTAAGTTTCAAAAAAAAAAGGGACATGGTCATGAAAACCGCAAGTCTCTATCTTTAAAAATAACCGAGACATCGCAGTCTAAACGGAAATATGTCACATGGTACATGTTGGATATGCCGGTCCATGTGGCGCAGTTCAGTGGAAACTGGACTGCGGTACTAAGGGTTCCTGGTTCAAATCCGGGTTAGGGATATTTGTAAATGTATAGAGGGTTGGGTTGGTAGAGCAGCCTTGGCTGAAACCCCACCCACTTAAAAATAAGAGGCAAAAAATAAATGAAAAATAATCTGAAATGTGAACCGAAAAAAACCTAGAGAACCCCCAACTGTTATATTGCATTCATAATCAAATTGGTTGCATTTATTATTATTATTCATAGACCAAACCACCACCTTTAAATTGCAAAAAGAAAATAATAAAAATAAACTTACTTTCTGTTGTTTCCCAACTTAAACCACCAACAAACAGTTTTCTGTGAACAAAAAAAGGAAGAAATGTTAGTGACCAGTAATTATAACAATTACCTAAAATTAAACTAATGCACTGTTTTAAACAAAATGACAGCAATTTACAAATTAGGTAATTAATTTAACAATTAGATGAACAAAAATGAGCTGCAACTAACTGAACTGATCCTAGTTCAATCAAATGGAACTGCAAGTATCACAAAATGCTAATCTGTAAGTTTAAAGTGAATTAGAAGTTAAATTTTTAAGTTCTCAAGATCTCAAAAACTTTGTAAGAATTTTAAGTGCACATCAAGAGCCAAATTATGAGTTAGGAACGTAACGAGATTGTTACTAAGTGACTGCTCTGTAGAGACGCCCAAGGATAAATACCATGGGTAATCCTTGTAGTCCAAATTCCAGGAGTCTGCCGTCCATAACATCGATCGCTGACACCTGAAGATAAGGAAGCCTGGTTAATGTATAAGCATCACTTTCTAATTCTGTCAATCTATACCGTCCGAGTTTAGGAAGCACTTAAAAATATCAGATTAAGATTGTTCTAAAATTAATCTTTTGTTACACATCCAAACGATTCCGTTTATTGAAAAATGAAAAGCTGAAAGTAAGAAACTTCTAAAACAAATCTAGTCGATAATACAATTTGTCTTCCAAAATTTAGTTGAAAGCTAATTGAATATGACGATACAAATGTTACAGAAGCCTATACAGACGAATTACAAATGTAGATGTCGTAGATACATAAAATTACAAAATACATGTCACGTGTGGAGCGTTTGCCTTGTTTCTTGCGCCGAAAATCCTGAGCTAGTTTCAAATCATTCACAATCTAGAAATTTAAACTACTTAAAAATGGAAAGCCTCTCGTTTCTACGCCCGAACAAAATTAGCTGAAAAATATGACAACAAACCATCAACAAGCTATTTTAAGATATAAATACATAAAGTTCACTGTAACATTTATAACTCATATCCAAAAACAAAGTTCAAGGTAATTTTTTTATCATACAAAGGAAACAACGCCACGCCATTTTTTTTCGTAAATCACGTCATTAACATTTTAGCGTATTCTACAAATAGGAAGTCCACATTGACAAAATTACATTAAACTTTAACAAATACAGATCTATTAATATGTAATTATAACAAATTGAACGAAAAACCGCGTAACTGTAAAGGATGAACCTTGATTACTAATGGTTACGTTACAAGCCGATATTGTACACTACAGAATATTCGAGTCCAATTTCGTATCAAATCACTACATAATGTATTACAAATATCCTTTTCGAGAAATTAAATTAAAACTTACCTGTCGTCATCACGGCCTGGCGCGTCGGCACTACCGCTATCGGCTACAGGGGCATCACCTCCACCATTTTGACCATTAACTTGATCGCTTTGTTGGAAATTTTGATCTGCTTGCACGTCTTGTGAAAAATCTTCACCATTTTCCATTTTCATTGAACAGTCTTGATTTGCCATATTTATGACAACAAACAATGTACTTTTCCACAATTTTTTAAGGAAATTAACTACAAAGTATGCAGACGTCTTTCCAAACACAAGCTAAGCTACACAAGCCAAGCCGGAAAACCCGCTATAAGCAGCAAAGCTCGCCCTAAGCATTGTGGGAATTCGTCGACCAATCAGCATTCAACTTTAACCGGAAACACAAGTTCACCATCCTTTTCATTGATTGGTTTACGATGCGCCCGCTTGGGTAAAGTTGGTTTGGAATGCAACAACGTAAATTGGTTAGGTTTGGAATCTGAACTGCTGTAAAGGCCGGCTTACATGCACGTTAGTTTTCAAGTGGATTATCTTTTTAAATATTTGTTTGGTGTATTCTGACGTTTGATAACGATTCTAAAAAGCTAAATCAGTTGATAACTTATGTAAAATACAAATAAAATTTTACTTTCCGACTACATACGAAATATGTATAAAGGAAAGTATTGTAATCGTGATAAATTTTCGATATGCCAATATTGCGTTTTCTGGACGTTTTAAAGCACACAGACCCCAAAAAAGTGATTTTTAGCTTGACACCTGTGTGTGGGTGTGTGTGTATGTGGTTCGTTTTTTGTTACCCCGAATCACGATAACTAAAAAACCCTTTAACCGATTTGGACGAAATTTGGGGTGCATATATAGGGTGGTATGGGGAATCGAAAACGTCCTATTTTGGTTTTGATCGGTAACCATCTTCATGGTTGTTAAGGGTGTCGAAAGTACAAATGAGCAATAAACAGCTTGAACAAAATTTTTTTAATGTTTTTCGCATACACTGGTCAAAATGGCTTAAAAAAACTTTACAAAAAAGTTCATTACAAATTTTGTGAGTTCCTTTGTTTTTGAGAAGTTTTGAATTGAAAAGTTAAACTATTTATTTTATTTTTCTAAATTTGCACTTTTCTCTAAAAGTAAGCATAGCTGCATAGATTGAAAAATGTTAATTACAAAAAAGAGATGTCTTGATGAGAGGGTTCTACACTTTTACGTCGGGTTCAAAATAAAGGCGCTAGAGGGCATTTTCTAAATGTTATACTATGACCAAAAATAATTGCAATCAGTGGTGTTCCCATAGGGTATACTCCATATACGCCGTATACTCTCTAGCATTTTTTGGACATATAGCGTATACTCTAATCAAGGCGCCACTGGACATGATAATTAGGTATATATAGGATTATTTCAAAACAGTTATTTGTACCTACAACTAGTTTTGAAAATGATTCTTTTTTTCATGAATTTGCAGATAGACGTGCAAAAGTGCGAATGTGCACTTACCTTTTGCAAGAGATCTCGTATATTAAACTGAACTGTATAGAGTCAATTCCCGTTGTAATAAATAAAATCGTCAAATCTTCAAATCAACATAATTATACTTTTACCAATAATCGTAATTTTTTAGACTTAAGAAGGCAAACCGCCCGCCACTACTTATAAGTGTAACTCCGCAATATGTTTCACATAAAATATCGAAGAACATTTATTTAATAAGAAACTTAAAACAATACGTCTCTAACAAAGTGGTCTGATTGCAACGCACATGTCATATGCGATTACAGCTTGGGGTTTTTCTAGTAATGCCAAATTACTTTTCAAACTTCAACGAAGATTATTAGAATTACCACTGGCCTCGGGTATATCGGGTGATCGAAAAGAACTGCAGACAGTTTAAATTGGGCGCTTTAAGTTTTTAATGTTTTTTACTTAAGGAATTGGCAAACATGTTTAGAAGGTAGTTATTTATTAAATTTAAAACGTCTACGTCTAAACAAGAGTCGAAACACCATGAACTACTACGGACCTAAAATGTATAATCACCTCCCTCTGTGTCTCAGAATCAGGGCTCGGAATTGACCGGAACGAGCCGGAACGCTGTTCCGGTTGGTAATAAGATATTACAATATCGTTCCATTTCGTCGAAAATATTTGTACACTGTTCCTTTTCGTAAAGGGCCCGCAGCGTCAGATTCTCTCCGCCTGCACACAAAGAAATTTTACAGAACCCTACATATTATTAGATTATTTGTAATTAATGCGATAAAAATCACATGGAAACGATCATACGTCCTTCAGATCATACCAGCACACGTAACCCATTAGTATCCACTGGTCTCCTACCCAAGAGAAACAATAAAAATGAAACATTTAATTTTTGTAACGTTTTCTCGTTATTGTTATGTACGTGTTTTCTATGTTACCAACCCCCCCCCCCCCCGTACTCCTGATGGGCTGTGATGCTTGCGTTCCGGCTCGCGAAAATTTCCATTCCGAGCACTGCTCAGAATTGCACCTTTGAATGAATTCAAGAAAAAACTCAAACCAGTATTGATTAGCAAAGCGTTTTACTCAATTGAAGAATTCATGTCTTGCAATCATTTTAATATGTAATTGTAAGTGTGTTTTTAAATGTTTTTGTTTTGACAAGTGTAAAATACTACTTGTATTACAAACACGAAATACATATTATTATTATTATTCTTACTCATCAATCTCTACCGCCAAATTAAAAAAAATGTCACCTAATAGAGTAATACAAAATTGCAATGATTCACTAAATATTATGCATAGAAATGTACAATGTCTGAGAAACAAGTGTTTGGAACTAGAATCAATAGCGCAGGCTCATGAGTCATGACTATGACCATTGAATTTATAACTATCAGAAGCGCGGATCCCATATAACAGTTTGTGACCATGTGCCAACTGGCCGCCGCTAGGAGCAGTTCGAGCGTTTGAAAGTCCGTGGGCGATCGAAAGTGGAGCGTTACATTGACATTAGATGGCAGCATTACAAACCATTTATTTTGACCTTTCGAATATTTTCCTTTTTAATCGTCAGATGTCAGGAACTCCGGATGTTTTTTGTGTTATCATTGGAATGGTTTTATAAATAGGATTGGAATGTTCTAAAAATAGATCCCTTAAGAAGCATTGCGTAAATTTGTAATGTAAATAATAATACATTTAGACGAACGAAGCTTGCAGTCCTTGTCCTTGAAGGAATGCAATTTCATACATTCTATTCACAGGCAGTAAAATAGGCAGGTTCCACATTTTTACTGAAAGCGGGAGATTTTGTTATTAAAAAACGATCAAAAAAAATTTTAAGGCAAAATATTGTCCGTTGCAAGCAGGCAGCTACATCATTTCCACATTCACATTTGATAACTAAATTTCGCGAATCAGCTTTTTTTATAACCATGCAGCATTGTGCACAAATAAATCGGTCCCAGTTTACGTGAATTCGTATACCTACTAGAGCTGAGCGATAAATGAAATTGTTATCGATTTATCGATAAGTCTGTTCAGTCTGATAATTATCGATTAATCATTAATTGATAACTATCGATAATTATCGATAACTTTAATCACTTATCGTTAACTTTCGATAATAATCGACAATTATCGATAAATCGTAAGGCTAATTTTCGATAATGAAAGATAACGTTTGATAATTATCGATAACTTTTTATAATTATCGATAACTTTTGAAAATAATTAATAATGATTGTTAGCTGCTGATAATAATCGATTATTATTGCCACGAAAATTGTCTATCTCTGATATTTATCGATTAATAAATAAGTAGCGGAAATTATCAAGAGAAAACTATCGATACTTTTTCATAAATCTCATCGATATATATTCTCAATCGATATATTACATCATCCATGCGTACACTCGCTAACATTTTTGTTTTTTTGGTATTGATATTGCGAGAGATAATTTAAATAAAACAGGATCTTTTGATGCTCAAGTTGTCTGAAATCAAAGGTGATCAAGTGGACGATAATCCTCAAAAATGAGTACAGCAGTAGGTTGTGAATTGTGATCATATGACAACTCAACAATGCTCTTACATCGCTTTTGTTGGAAGTAAACTGGTATACCTAAACATTGAAAAGTTTATGTCGTATAAAAATTCTCTCGATAATTATCTATCTTAATAGTTTAGTTGTGAGATTAATCGATAGATTATCGGTAATTATAGGTTTATCGACCAATCCTTTAACATTTTCGATAAATTACACCGGTCTACAGCATTTTTGCGCATGGGACATATATACCTTATTTTTATTGCTTCTATAGCCACAAATAAGAATTAGAACAAAAAATGGTTATGTATTTGTTTTTGTGTGAAAAAAATGCAAAAAACCAAAAAATAAGAATACCTATAGAATCCTACTTACATAGGCATGATTTATTAAATGGTAACGTTTCTACATTTATAATTTGTTTATCTTAGAGTCTAAATGTTTAAAAATGGAACAGTTTTGCTGTTTTTGTCATGTTCAACTGAATCTGATCTTCCATCATGCTTCCAACTTCCTGGTCTTGGGAAGGTGCCTAAGTTCCATTGTCTCGAGAAAGTGTTGTCCTTATTCCAAATAAGCTCCCATATTATCCTTAAATTGATCTAAATGAGAATGTAACCTGTGCATCTTTATTCTTTAGAGACATTCTATACCCCATGATACAAAACCAAATCCTGTCAGCTCGTCATAATTTTCAGCTCTATGGTTTCCCAGGAAACACTGAACGGGAAACCATGGACTATTGCCTTAAAACTGTTCCAGGATTTTTTTTCCTCTTTGCTAAGTAACCGCGGAAAAATATCACCCTCCATTTTTCTTTTTTTTTTAGGGAAAACAAAGATTCCAGCTTTAATTTTCGCCCCTGAAAGCTTTCAATCAAATCGCTGTAACTTTTGTAAAAGCAAATATTTTCGATGTCTTAATCGCACTTTTTATTTATTTTTGCTTATTATAGTCAGAATATATATTGTGTAAATCCCATGCGCAAAAAATTCTTTTTTTGTTGACCGGTCGACCATTTTTTTTAAATTTATCGATTGACTATCTATTAATCGATAATTATCGATAAGTTATCGATTAACCATTGAGAACAAATTTCAAACGTCAGAATTTAAAAGAAAAGAGGTTAACGACCTTTTTATTTTGTATCAAAATTGCCAGGTGTGACGTGTGATCCTAGATCAGGGGTCGGCAACCTGCGGCTCTTTTGATACCTATAAAGTTGCGGCTCTCCGTATTTATCTAAAGAAATTAGTTCATTTGTTCGAAATTCGCCTTTTTAATTAATCTTATTTTGTATCAAAAGTATACTTGCAGCAAATAATTATCTAATTTTTGACACTTGTTTACTTTCTGGTATTCTTTTGTTTTTTTTATTATAGCCAGCCTACTCCGATGTATAAACACGTAATTAATTAATGAGTAGGTACTTTTGTGAAAAATATTGAATAACCTAAACACTGCGGAGTTTAAGCACAGGGCACCCCTTATAAACATTTAAGAGAAGACAAAAGCGAATAGCGAAATAAAATAGTGGTAGTTCCATTTGAAAAAGAATAGTTATAGCACTTTGAACAAACGGCATTGAAACAACCAAATATTCAGGATGTTCTATTTAAAAAGATCAGTTATTAATTGACATCGTAAAAATGGAACACCCTGTACATTCAAAAATAATTTCTGTAGATCCGCAACCACCAATATTTTTACCAGGTATCTATCAGCTATGTAGGAAAAACCGACGGACTGTTGCAGGACCCTGTATATAGCCAAAAACTATAATATTGAATCAAAAATTATTTGTGGCTCTTTAAGAATTGGGAAATTTTGTAAATTGTAATTTTTAGCTCTTCCGTTTCAATAGGTTGCCGACCCCTGTCCTAGGTAGTTTAACCGGTGGCAACGGTTTAACCGACACACACAAAAATTAAGAATAGATAGGTAGGTACATTTAATTTCTGTTACAGTGATCAAGGATGCCTGCGTATTTTTGCTTTCCTGTTCAAATGTAATTCAATCTTCCTTAAGGAATGTTAAGTAAGGTCACGATTCATGAAAGGAAGAATGTTTATCTTACGTCATTCAACATCCTGTGTGCCACATAAATGCCTTATAAGTACGTTTCTTGGGTATCTAGAATTCTGTATACAACAATTACAAATCGAGATAGTGGGTTCATTACAGATTCCTGTATAATAATTAACAAAGGTAAAAAACTGACATTATTATTCATCTTTCTCGATGGTAGAGACATCTACGTCTTGTAATTTAAACTATTGAAAACAGTCACATATCCTGCCATTTAACCTGCGCTTCTGATAGTTATAAATTCATCTATAAATTCAATGCTATGACGTTCTATGTATAAACGAGCACTGGCTAAGAAAAGAGGAAATTGATGTGTTGAGTATTCAAGGATATCGTGTTGTAACGAGTTTTTGCCGTTCGAGTAAAATACACGGTGGGGTTTGCATTCTCATCAAAAATTCTTATAAATGTACACTTTTGAATTTGTTGGGCTTATCGAAGGAAGTTAATTTTGAAGTGGTAGGTTTAAAATATCATAACATTGGGATTGTGTCTATTTATCGTTCACCCAGCGGAGACTTCGATATATTTATGGAGCAATTACTGCATATGTTAGAAACTTTAAATTTTCGAAAATTAATCATTATTACTGGCGATTTTAACGTCAAATTCAATACTAAAGACGAAAACGCGCACCAGCTATGTAACATTTTTCTAACGTTTGGGTTGAAGCAGTCCGTTTTTGAGAGCACTACTAACTATGCAATCATGCCTGGACAATATTTTTACAAACATTCCAGACTTTTCAGTTGCGGTCTTTGATACATATATCAATTGGGAGTTTATCAGTGACGAACGAATTGATTCCGAATTGATTTTATGATCTAATTAAATTTTCTACAACTAACACTGAATGAATGTGAAGAAAAAAAAGCAAAAGTGCGTATGATCAATTATAATTTTTAACTGAGATCAAAAATAAAAACAACTCAACAAATGAACTGTCCTAAACTCTTAACCCCAAAACCGCTCCAAATATTGATATCACAAATATTTTGCTGGTGGTTGTAAACTTCATAATTTTCAATAAACTGTTGAATATCATTTTATTACAATGTTGAAAACGGTTCAATTATGGGGTATTGATGATTTTCAATATTGAAAACGTTTCCTCCGAACATTGTACAAGTACAATAAATACACAAATGTTCAGAATAACCGTGAATGTGTAGACATTTCTTGTTTTGATTGCTGCATATGCTACATTAAAGTAAATAATAATTTCTATAATCGATGTTTAATTTTGATTGCAACATTTATATTGGTATATGCACATTTCCATTTGCGGCTAAGAAACAGTAAACAACATGGTGTAAACCGACCTTTGCAGTTTGCTGTACCAAAATCGTTTACATTCCAAATGACTTACGGAAGGTTTAATCTCGTCGCGAAACGAGGGGGTCGAGATTATAATGGCGCCTCCTATCCCAGCGCCAACAATTGTTGCGACAATAAAACAAACTACTTTTACCTATCATTCTTGAATGTATCAAGTTGTCCACCCGTCTCAGCATTCACAAAAAGCTCGAAATTTCTCAAATTTCAATACAATTCAAAAGCGAAAACTTCATTGCTTTAAGGTTAATCTTCTGATTATTGGCAATTTATTATCAACGTAGTAAAATACCTCGCAGGTAAGCGTGTTTAATACTATTTAACACTAAACGTTTCTTCCGCAAAATGCGTATTATTTTTGCGGCACATTATGAAAGTTACAAAATAAAGTTCTTTTGTAGGTTATCAATCCTTACCGCATTTCGTTGCAACAATTACAAGGTTCTTTTATTTCTTCAGAAATGATCTATTTATTTGAAGTTTATCTGATATAAGAAAGCTATTCCTTCTATAAATCGTGGTTTGTACTAATTTTGTAATATATTTATTTTGTGCTAGGAATGGTCATGGAGGCTCCCCCATCGCCCCAGAGTGTAGGACGAGAATTTGTACGACAGTATTACACTTTACTCAATGAAGCCCCCACGCATTTACACCGGTACGTATTGCTCATTTTTAGACTACTCCTATTGAAACTTGGACATTGGTGCATGGGCCAATTTACATTAGTATTTGGTACGATTGTTGATACTTGTTTTTACTTTCTATGCTCTTTGTAGTTTGGTGGAACCTTCCAGGTGTTCATTGTCAGTAACGCTGGATGTAACAATGCTGTTAGTAAAATTAAGGGCCTATAGAATGATCTCATTGATCAATGGGACATTTCACTAATGACTACACACTAATAAACTTAAATGTTAATTTGTTTCATTTCACCTAAGCTTAAGTAACATGTAGGTTTGTGATATTGCAAAGCTATAAAATATGACCAATTCTAGTGCCAGCTTTACACTAAGTACATGCAGGAGTAGTACTTTATTTCATCATTAGATAACTGATTTTAATAGCAATGTATGTTTTAATAATAATGGGGGTTCCTTACTGCATGTACCTATTTGTAATCCTTCACATAATTTTGAAGAACTTTCAACTATTCCAAAAGATTTCCCGAAGCATTCCTGTCATCTCGGAAACATTTTTGAAAGATTGTGCACGAAATTTTCAAAATGGTGGATATTCTACTAATGACTGTTTGCACCGACAAACTTAAGCTGAACTTAGCTTAAGCTTAAAATCCATGACAACCATTGTCACCATAATGTTGTCATAGATTTTAAGCTAAGATTAGCTTAAATTTGTCGGTGCAAATGGCCATTAGTGTATACTACATTTTTGTTTGTAGACATTTTAAAAATATTCCCACAATTTCTTTTGTATTTTCCAACCATTTCTGAAATATTTTCAACATATACTTACTGCATATTGCCTCAATTTTTCTAAATGTTTCTGAACATTTGCAGATTTCCAACATTCTTCAAAAATTAATGAAAGTTTTAAATTAGTCGTTACAATTTTTGGGTTTGCTTGTGTGTCGCTGGGGAGGTGGTGAAGGGTAGTTACATGCGGCTGTCATGGTTTCATAGACATTTTGTTTATTTTTGATATTTCACTGCAGACAATAATTGTGAAACTGTGTTTTGTCAACAATAACATTTCATAGTGATAGGAAAATTCCTTTCCTGAAAATCATAAGTATATGATTCTTCAAAAGTATCTTGTTTTGTTATCTAATCTAATTTTAAACACAATAACATTATTTCCTTAGGCATTGCATAAACACTGATGAGTGGTGATAAATCAAGTGATTTGGATAATTTTCAAAGTTTAAACAAGAATAAAATTTCATTCGTTCTACTTACTGGCAAATTGAAAATGGTTGGCAGGATAAATTTGGTTAAAATATCTGTTTTTACAGACTGTTTTCATGGTATACCTGACCTGTTTTTAAGTCCTTTGCATCTTACAACAATCAGTCCAAGTCTAGGTGCAAGTATGTAATTATAACATGTCACTTAAAAAAAATTTCTAAAATTAATTATAAATAGTGGCGGTAGTGCCCGTTTTTGTTAAACCCTCTGCGTATACAGCTGAATATGTCTGAAAAAAATTGAATCTGAGAGGGGTAGAAGTAGGGATTCAAGCCTGAAATTCTGAGAATTGAAAAAGTTCTGATCTGACCACTGGGTTCTGATCGTGATAAATGTTTGCCCGACCTTTAGTTCAGAGTACTAGCTGGTTTGGCATTTCGGGCCTTTGCATAAAACTAATTTACCATGTTAAATCCCTATGTTCCTACTTACCGTGCACCATGTTGTATGTGATACAAGGGTGTAATAAAAAACAAACGACATGATGGGGCGAACATACAAAACTGATAAGCATCAAGGCATGAGTTACCATTTAGTGGAATAAATAAAGTGTATATTAAATAAAACGAAAAATAAAATAAATTGACAGGTTTCATATAAGACTAGATATATTATCACATATGTAGTAACATTTATTGTATATATTAAAACAATAAAGTTTGTTTCGCTACCTACCTTTAGTCTTCTATTCTATTCATTATTTCATACTTTTATTTCAGCTTTTACAACAATCAGTCTTCGTTCGTGCATGGTGGTCTTGACCCTCCCAACCGTGAGACCAGTCCCATGATTGGTCAAAAGCAGATACACCAAAAGATTCAGCAACTGAACTTTCGTGACTGCCATGCGAAAATTACTCAGGTTGATGCTCAAGCAACATTGGGTAACGGAGTTGTGGTACAAGTCACTGGGGAATTGTCGAATGCAGGTCAACCGATGAGACGTTTTACGCAAACTTTTGTTTTGGCTGCTCAAAGTCCGAGAAAGTATTACGTGCATAATGATATTTTTCGGTATCAGGTATGTACTACATTACAATTTCAATTACATCCAATTCTTGATATATTGTTTAATCGGCATTTGATGTTATTTTGATTAATAGTATTAAAGTTTTACGTTATTTGCTAGGATGAAATTGTTTCTGATGATGAATGTGAACCGGAATCCCGTTCCGAAAATGAGGATGACTTGGTGCAGGAACGTCCTATCATGAATGAGGTTTCTCAAATCGCCCAACAACCCATGTCTTATTATAACCCTAACAGTGCTCCTTTACAACCCAATATGCCTCCTGTATCTCACCATCATGCGCAACAGCCGACTAACATTACTCATGTTATCCCTCCTCAACCTGTTATTGCTACTGTAAATGGAAGTCTTCATCCTGATGATATCAATGCTTTACAAGGTATTTTAAAATTATTAAAATCATTAAACCACCACTCTCAGAAATATTAATTTGATTTCTGGCTTGCTATTGGGAACTATAAAATTTAACAATGTTTATTTATAGGTGGGCAATTGCCACATGTAACGCCCGTACAAGGTCAAAATATTGGAAATCCAATGGTAAACATGCAACCAACATTACCACCATCAAGTCCCTTATTGCCACCTGAGGAAAATCCGCAATCTACCATTGAAGAACCAGCTGTAGATGTTTCATTAGATAATAATTACTTATCTGTACAAGATTCTATGGAAGCTGCTGATCTAAATCAGGACATTGGTTAGCATTTTGATAAGTATTGCAATTTTGGTTTAAAAATCAATTTCTTGCAGCTTTATCAAATGAACCAAAAACTTACGCGACGCTCGTGAAGTCTGGGGGCACTACAAACTTTTCAGCAAATGTTATCCCATCTAGCGGTGGATATAACAATCCACCAAAGTCTTTGTCCCCAGTAAGTTATGATTTCCGCGGAGATTTTAGAAAATTGACGATTTTCGTTGCAGCCTTTACCACAGACTCGATATGACGCTCGCGATCAATCAATAACCTCTCCTCAAATGGGAAATCAGAATACTTCAGGACAGCGACTAAATTCCAATCGTGGACCTCGAAATAATCAGCCTCGTCCACCAAGGCAGGACTCTCGTTCTACATCTGGAGGAAAAACGTTTATGGATACTGATAATGCTGTGAATTACGATGATCGGCGACGCTCGCAAGGACACGGAAACTCCTTTGGGGATAATCATCAACTTTTCCTTGGAAATGTTCCCCATATTGCCACAGAGGATGAATTACGTGACATATTCTCCGCATTTGGACAAATTGTGGATTTACGAATTCACAGTAAACCAAACGCAAAAGCTACAACACCTGGAGTGCGAGCACCGCCGAATTACGGCTTTATTACATATGAAAATCAACAGGCAGTGCAAGCTTGTTTAGCCGCAAAAGTGAGTAAAGTAATAATATTTGCAACAATGAAAAAATTGTTACATTTTTTTTTCACTACTATCGTCTGATGCCATGATTATTAACCTTTTTTCCACTTGTAAAGTAGGTTTTCTCGTCATTTGTTCAAAGTGGTTAATAATGTGGAAATTATTAACTATACGTCTTTCGCTATAGAAACCGTTGCACATCATTGATTTGTGTATCAATTTTAGACATATGCTGCAACACTGCAACATGTACAAAAAAAAACAAGTGTGCGAAATCTATAGAAAACTTGTCTGAAATTGATTCATAAATCAATGACGTGCACCGGTTTTTATAGCGAAAGACGTATAGTAGTCAATGATGAGAACTGTCACGCTGTCACTCTTAGAAAACACAACCCGAAATTTCGCTCAATAAACGTTTAGACAAGTTCTCTAAAATGAATAATTGCCACCATCCGCCATTTCCAGAGAAATTACATACCTAAAATTTTCACATTTTGAACAAATTCGAACGAAATTACTCATATATAATACCATAAGTAGTCGAAGTATTGTCGAATATTTTTGAGGTGCTGTCACGAATGCTATTAAAAAGCGTAACTAGCATGAGTGGAGCAGCAGCTCAAAAATAATCTACAAATACTTCGACTACGAATGGTATTCGGAGGACTATTCAATGAATCAAAAGAAAAATTAAGCATAATTACCCACGCGAATTATTTCCATGACAACAATAAACATCAAAATAAATTATGGAAGTTGCTTTTCATTTTGCTATTGATTCTATTCCAGAGACTTGCTATAACTAGACTGCGCTTAACGTATCTAAGGTGTTGTCGACACAGTATGCAACACACAATGCACCGCGGGGCAAAAATCGCTGAGATGATATGCAATATAATGAAATAAGCTGATATTTTAGATGTTCCGTTCATTAATCATTCTCGTGATTAGCTCGAATTAGTGAACAGATAAATTTCTGTTGAGAATAAACCAATAAACTTAGGTTAACTTGTGCCTATCAACATGTACTCTGTCGATAAATTTTTAAATAATACGCTGATTTTCAACGGATAAAAGTTTAAAGGGCCAATGGATCAGAGCCATTCGAAGAGAAAAAGTTACTCCCACCATAATGCATTTTGCGGGGAATGAAGCCGATTTTAGAAAGGTACCTACGAAGGTGTTAAACAATAATGCAATACCGAGCGTTTTCGACTTTCCCATTCATTAAAATAACGTAGAACTATTATTCGACATCCTTTACCAGCAAGACAACGGCAGTACCTATTTGTCTATTAGGTATAGACGTAACTAAGTACTTACTGGTACTAAGTATATTTCAGGTTTTGTTACAAGAAAAATAGGTAAGTCTGTTAAATGTTCCATATGTGCAGATGCGATATTCGCATCAGAGAGTCATTCAAAGCTTTTAACTAGAAAAAATCGTGGAGGATTGTTGCACGTATCAAGCGATGCATTAAAAATTTGCCAAATTGCTGTGTGTTCAGGTTTTTCATTCAATCCACACCACACCGCGTTGTAAACAAAATGGTTATCAGCAGTCTAAGAAAAATAAATAACAGTTACAGCCCATTTGGGTTTTTGGATAGGAATATATTGAATCAATATCCGCTAAATAATCATATCTTACTACTTACAACTTTAGTTTTAAGAGTATATTTTCCCATACGTGTTCACCACCAAAATACACATATAAATCAAACTAGGACTAGAGTAAGGCAGTTATATATCAATTTACTTCAAATAAAATACCAATAAATTCGATTAAAACAGTTAACAGCTGTATGTTATCTCTTTTTGCTACTAAAATTTAGAATAAACATGGCTAAAGCAAGCTGCAGAACGTACGTCTGCCCCGCAATGAACAGTTGGTTGCCTATCCTATATTGACAACAGGCGTTTATAGTAAAATCTACGTTACGCGCGGTCTAGTTATAACAAGTCTCTGTTCTATTCGAACTTTTGTGCTCCAAGCTAATTCGTTATGAGTGATTAAATTAAAAGATGTGGTGATAAGTCGGTTGTCGAAATTGATTAACAAACTAAGAAGAATGTTCCGGTTAATACGACAAAATTTCGCATCATTTCACTGGTGGAAGTTTGACAAATGTCATTGAATAATCGCATTGAATTGTCGCTGAAATACCACACGTGAAATTATCGCTGAAATACCACACGTGAAATTGTCACTATAATTCGTTCCCATTGGCTCAACAATTTGAAATCTCGACATTTCACTGGTCGAAATGTGACAAATGTTAGATGAATTGAATAGTCTTTGAAAATATTTTAATGACAGAACAAAATGTGGCCTGTTTGACTTGTACTTCCACGTACTTGATTGACATGTTACATTAATAAACAAAAAATTCTGTCCAACCGTTCACTTTCTTATCAATATAATATGTTAATTTCGAGGACTTCAAGTACTAGTAGTGAAAAAAATAGTATATATACCACGGTAAAGAAGTCTATTATTGCCTTCGCACCTTACACCCCTCGGCGCAAGCGCCTCGAGATGTAATCTTGGTGCTCAGGCAATAATAGTCGACTTCTCTCTCTTGATATATAATGTACTATTATCCAAAATCGTCCCGAAACCTTCATTTTCATGGCTACTTTCTATCTAGAAATTTAACTTTCCATGACAGAGGCAGAGCAGACTACGTTTCCTGCCTCTTGTCACTTTACTGGCGGCACCTATCACTTTACTGACCGCATCTATCACTTTACCGACCGCATTTGTGACATTTCCAAATGTCTATAATGAAAAATTTAATGCAAAACTCGTCAGTAAAATGACATTCCCTGACTCGGAAATTAAAGTACTCTGTCCCTGGGGCCTCGTACTTCAATATTTCCAGTAATGTATCATTTTCCTGACTTTTATGTAAATAACTATGGTAGTGAACTGATTATATGCAATTCATTTATTCTGGTATTATTCATGTACGGAAATACAGAACCAAAACAAACATTTTTTTCCCCAAATATAAGTACCTACTTATACAGGGTCATTCTTGACGAGCGTCAGTTAGAAAGATATCGAAAACCTTTGAAAATGAAAATAAACTGATAAGACCCTTAAGTTCTTTAAGGGTCTTGGCACATGATGAATTGAACTAAAATATTTTCAAGATGGCGCCACTTTCGGAAATACCGGAAGTAGCCATCAACTTTGTTATTTTAAATAGGGACCCCCTATTTTTTCTACATTTTCGGATTCTACCTCGAATTTGGAGTACAACGATACCCCATAGTTGACCCTTTGCTCCAAGGGTTTCGTCGATATTCAACTTTTTTTTATGGCAAAAATTGAATTTGCGGGGGTCATTTTAAAAATTTATTATTCGAAAACGGTGAGAGATATTACAAAACCGTTTTCAATGATTTATTAAGGAAAAATCGAATTTTCTTATGGTACACGAAACCGTCTAAAAAAGTGAGACTACGTCTCTTTTTCAAAGCTCTCAACTTTTAAATTTTTAAATTTCGGTAACTCCATTTTTTTTAATGGCACCCCCCATTTTGTTCTTCACCGTTGTTTTCCTTTTTCCCAGACCTTTAATTTGAAACAAAATGTGAAAAGCTGCTTCAAACGGTTTCCGAGATATTCCATGTTTTAGTTACTTCTTGTGGCAAATTAATAAAAAAATTAAGTCGCTTGATGTTATTCTTTTGTTTTTATTTTGATAATGTTTAAAAGTCAAATTTTCGCTGCTTGTACTTATACTTATACTTTTGACATAAAAACTTGAATATCGACGAAACCCTTGGAGCAAAGGGTCAACTATGGGGTATCGTTGTACTCCAAATTCGACGTAGAATCCGAAAATGTAGGGGGTCCCTATTTAAAATAACAAAGTTGATGGCTACTTCCGGAAGTGGCGCCATCTTGAAAATATTTTAGTTCAATTCATCATGTGCCAAGAGTCAAGACCAAGGGTCTTAGAAGTTTATTTTCATTTTCAAAGGTTTTCCATATCTTTCTAACTGACGCTCGTCAAGAATGACCCTGTATAAGATTCGAGGAAACTGAATTGAAAACAACAGCGAACTTTTGACAGGACGAGATGTGCGAAAAATTCAGGCAAAGAATCAGAATATTCAAAAATCTAGATAGTACAGTTAGGTCTTATGGTCTTTGAAAGAAAGAGTATGTTGAGTTACGACATAGTTCCCAAAGGAAACACGCCTTGAGCACTTTCTTTAAACTTTATTTATTCACCTGTTTTTGGGCCAATCGGAATAAACTTTTTGATTTGTAGAAGTATTTGCAAATGGTTTCCACATTCTCTGCGTACTTTTCCAAAAAAGTATGATCACGCTTGATAAATAAATAGTAAAATATCAGCAGCATATTTTTTCCTGTATTGCTTGGTTGCAGGACCAGGATGTGCCGTTTTAAACATATAACAAATTTTTGGTTTTACTATTCCCAGTTCAATTACATTAAAAAAATACATATCCATTTGACGAAACAAAATGAAAAATCGTGCAGTATAGGAAAAAAACAAAACGCAATCTAATGTAAAATTCAAGTATAAATGACCCTCTACCATAAATATTGACCTTCAACAATTTAGTATGCAAATTTCATACACTTAAAATCCGTGTGCCTTTTTGTTAGAAATCGCCTGAAAAAAATTTTTGTTACAGCCCATATACTATCCAGAGAAAAATTCAGAAAAAGCTGTCATGCTAAATGTGGAAGAAAAGAAAATAAAGGACAGGGTACCGTATGGCAATCGGCCGCCATCAGATAATATGGGTGGGATGAGGCCTCGCGATAATGGGCAACAACGACGTCCAGGTCCACCACGTGGTGGCGGAGGTGGTAATGGACCTGTGGGTGGTCCCCCAGGTCGTCCCAACAGTTTCAACAGGCCACCACAAAATCGTGGCAACAACACCGCGTACAATAATCGCCGCTAGCTATTTACATTTACCTACAAGAATAATTGTTTCATTCATCTGCAGTGCTGTCACAACAGGCATCAACAAACTTTTTTTATCAGTCTAGTTCGTGAGTGAATGAAATGTTATGAACCAGTATCGTGTTATCACTTTATCTAGTGATATTTGTTACAATATTTGTGCCAACAGTGAACATTGTATGGTGGCAGTGTATTTCTATGCAAACTGTTTTCTTTGTATTAGTTTACCGTACTTTTAATTTCAAAAAGGAAGTGTGATAAGTAGTAAATATGTTAGTTGATTTCAAATACGGGCTGTGTATTAGTTTTAAATTTCAGCGAAAATTACTTTTTCTTGCAAATTTTGCTACAAGTGACACCTTGTTATTCTGGAATAGTTTGTGTATTAATACGGCTGCCGCATATTTGTGGTGTGCTTATTTTACATTTTCTATTTTATAACTTATACAATTACTGATTTGTTGCTTCAGTTTCGTACATATTTTAGTTTGTTTTTATGGCTTTTTTTAATACCAAACGAGAAATATAAAAGTACAAGGTAGGCACTTTTGGTTTTTTTTATTTCATAACTACGCAGCATGCACGATTGTGTTCTTGGCGCATTCTGTAGTACCTACGTAAAGTAACATTCTTTTAAGCAGCTAGTTTCATATTAGCAAGGACCATTACTGTTAACTGTAGGTCTTCCTAAATTGAAGTTGGTATAGATCATCTATAATAATTCGAACTGATTTTACAGGAATACTATTTAGTTTCACTTTAGTTTAATGTTCAAGGAATTTTCATTTTTTTTAGATGTTTCTTAATCCTTAATAAGGTAAAAGTGAGTTCTTTGCTAAAGTTGTCAATAGCATTTTTAAAAGTCAGGTGAATATATAAGTTTTCTTGTAGAAATTTAATTTATAATAATTTTTTAATTTATAGTATATTTATAGTTCGTGATAACTTCATTAGTAAATTTCATTGTATGCCTAAACTAGAGGTCTTTTCTCTTGTCTTGCTAGTCTGAATGTTTTTTTATATCTTTGTTCTTAGTTTTATATGCTCAAAGTAATGTTTTTTGACAAAATTTAAGGTTACCTGACTATTGTACTTATTTACCTTCGCAAGTAGTACCACTAAATTCAGATGTGTCGTTTTTTTTAACGTATGTTTGTATAATTTTTGTAAGATATTGCAACTAAAAACTGTTACAATAAAAATATTAGTATTTTGTTCATCTAAATAGTAACTGTGATTATTAAAAAAATTCCTAACTAATGAGTCTAACTTATCCTAGAGGACAACTTAGAAGTAAAGCTTTCTCATGCAAACTAGCAGAGGCGGACTGGTCAGTCGGGCGATACAGCAGTTGCCTGATGGGCCACTACATAATCGATTTATTTGAAGTTATACCAAAGAGTACCCATACTAAGAGATACAGCACAATGGCATAAACGCGTGTTGGCTATAACACAGCCGTCTATAATTACAAGCCATGCTGAGAAGTTTGGCAACGTTGTTCGAAAGTCAATCGGTGGGCCGATTTAGTTTTAATGGCGTCTTGTTGGTCTTGAAAAATGGCATTTTCCTCTCTCCTGTGTTTTGCCTTGGCAGTTTTAATATAGAAGAAAGATACTTAGGCAGCTTACAATTGTGCATATATATTATTTATTTACAAAAATGGATAATAACATTTTTATTTGACTTTAAAATTCGGAACGCTGTAAATTGGTAACTGCATCACAATGTGTTTTCCATCGAGATCTCCGAAATTGGTGAACTTCTCTCGAAAGAGGTCGAGGTGCAGCAACAAGAATCGGTGACTGCAAGCATGTGAACTATCGGAATTCGATGATGTAAAAACAAGGTTGTGTTCTCGTCATTTTAACCGCTATGACTGCATTGATTTGGATGCACGCAAGCATGATGGGGGCACGAAGTTATATGGGGGTCACTTAACACCTAAAAGATTTCCAACTCGACAATGTTAATTTTATTTTAAAATCAGTAAATGTCTTTAATTTAATTGTGTTTCTTTGAACATTTGTAATGTATCACTTTATATTATAGCTGATGCGAACTTATCCAATTTCATGTTATATTCAAGATATAATCCCTATAGGTATATTATTTCAATTGCAATTTAAGTTTCTAAATCGTTACAAAGTTTGCCTTCGAAGTTGAAGGGTGTAACCGTAAACAAACTCCGCTGAGGAAGCTCGAAAGTTCTCCGTGAAAATGCTACAGTTTCCAAGCAGAACGATACGGAGTACCTTGAACCAGAACGCACTGGGTGGCATGTGAGCGCTGATTTGAGTTGGCAGTGAAATCATTCAAGTAGGCCATTGACTGCAGGTCCCGAATCCTTGTGTGCCGAAAACAATGTTGAGGGCACAAAAAAGGGAAGATTCAAATTGTCGTCGCTGATCGGTGAAGATGCTAGTAGGGGAATCGAAGCGATATAGTCAACAGGTAAGAAACGCTTCGGCGGCGATTGGTCTTGGGAGGGTGGGCCTCGGCCAGCTAGTATACTTATCTAAAGACATCACAGGATCAGACAATAGTGATAGGAGTCGGCAGGTGGAATGGGGCCAATGTGGTGAATATGAACCTGCATGAAGCGAATAGAAGTCTGGGTGAAGTTTCCGAATGGTGCGTGGTCGTGTTTACATATGGTAATTGCACACAATAATGGTTTAATAAAATTTTAACCCTATTTTCGAGTTATAGGTTATGAAATTTGAAATTGGCGCTACTTAAAAGTAGGCGGAGAGAAGTAAATATTTACTTGGGGAGTTTGCGCATAAATGCAGAGTTGAGGACTAAGGAATAGGGCAGCTCTCTTTTATGGCGAACAATTTGAACATTGCAATCATAGGCGGTTATCCATATACTTCTCTTATATATATGCTCAAAACACATATGAAATACACTCACAATCTGTCAAGTTGAATTAGGAAATCGGCCTACCATGCAGTGTTGCCATAATTCTCAGCACGGCTTGTAATTATAGACGGCTGTGGCTATAAGAACTCGCCCCCTAGGATTCTAAAAGCGAGCCCTCGCGTAGAGATCGATGGTCAAAACTAACCGCCTCTTTAAATATTGCCGCGTATTGAAAATTTACAGAATTCTTTATAGAATTTCGGTTTAAATTTTTTAGTGTTTGCTTGTACTTAGGTATCTATTATTCCTTGAAATTTATGATGCTTAAAGATGTGTAATGGCAATTAAGGTCCGAAGGTCTGTTGGTTTGATTCAGAAGTGCAATTAAGATATGTTCTTCGTGTAACAATAAGCTGTTTTTTGAGCGGTAAATAATAGAATTTTTACTGTGAATTCCCAGTAAGCGCGAGTAATAAGCTCGCGTTGATTACGTCTCTGCCCTTTGTACACACTGTCCGTCGCTTCTACCGATCGAAAGATTTAGCGACGCCCTTCGACGGACGTGTGGAAAAGTAAAATAAATCCAAAATAAACTGCCCCAATTGGATTATAGTTGTGATCGAACGGTTCAAATCAGTTAAAAATGTGATCTGTGGACCAACGCAACCCCACCTCTTAAGTTAAAAAGTAATCGTAAACGATTTACATAAAGCGCATTTCCACCTGCATTCATTTCCCATTTGTAAGATGCAACTTCTGTTAAAATCGTAAAAATCCGGCCACAAATATGAAAGATAGCGTTGCACATGGGCAATCCATTTTTGACGTGCTACTTCAATTTCAGTTTATGAGAAGAATTTCATTTCAATGCTTTTCTAAATAAGAAAGTTGGAACTGCGCATGCGCAAACCTAAATTTTGAAACTAATGTTAGATTTTCCTTTGTTCCAAGCGCCTATTTAAATGCTTCCATAGATAAAAAAGTTGGCATTGCGCATGCGCAAAATAAAATTTTGAAACTGGAAATTGGAAACCTTTATTCCAAGTGCCTATGTATCAAATTTCGTTTAAATTCTTCCATAAATAAAAAAGTTTGCACTGCGCATGCGCAAAACCAAAATTTGAAACTGGCGTTTGATTTTTCTTTATTCCAAGTGCCTATGTATCAAATTTCGTTAAAATTCTCCCATAAATAAAAAGTTGGCACTGCGCATGCGCAAAACCAAATTTTGAAATTGGCGTTTGATTTTCCTTTATTCCATGTGACTATGTATCAAATTTCGTTTAAATTCTTCCATAAATAAAAAAGTTGGCACTGCGCATGCGCAAAACCAAATTTGGTACTGGCGTTTGATTTTCCCTTATTCCAAGTGCCTATGTATCAATTTCATTCAAATACTTTATAAGTAAAAAAGTTTGCAATTCGGTTTATAAATGGTCGAGATGCGAAAAGGGCGCTGTGAATTTTGAATCGATTCTACTCAACTTGGCATTGCGTATTATATGATTAAAGCTATGCCCATATTGAATTTCATGCAATTCAGTTAATAGCTAACGGAGATGTAAAAGCGATCGGACATTTCTAAACAAAGTTATCGTTCACATGGACAGATACAGGTACAGACAGACAAAGGAACAGACGGACAGATCAACAGACAGACGACAGACAGCAATACAAAATTATAAACGATCTATAGGATCGTTAATAAACGGCAAAAGTGTAAAATTATGGAACATGTAAGAAACGGTTTTTTGTTTTTTTTACAATAACTTTTTTTGTAATCGGTACAGAAAAAATTCCTTCCTTGGTGCAAGACTCGACACCATAACGAACCAAATAGCGAAAAAAGTAGAACAATAGCTCTTAAGATAAAGAACTAGTAGCGTCGCAAAATGAGCGGACGGACGGACGGACGGACAAAGTGGCCACAATACCGCATTTTTTTTATTTTTGTGGAAATGCGCTAAAAATGGTTTCTTTGCGATAACTGAAAAACTAATTGGTCGATTTGGACCATATTTTTACCAGTCGATGTGTCTAATGTCCCCTTTAATCATTAAATTTCTGTCCGATCGACCCACTCATTCCGGAGATATTTAAATGCTCCAGAAACCCTATATTTGGAGTGGAAGCCAATTATGTTTTCAAAAATGAGAACATACACTGTATTATTATTTATCAATCATTTAGATGGATGAATCACTAACAGAATGCGGCAACTTTAAATACATACCCAATGACAGCGTTACTTATTGTGCTTTTCCGTTACTATAACTACTTATATACAACTCTGTGCTATAACCATTGAATTTGATAGTTATAAATTCAATGCTATAACGATTAGCCAATGGCATAGACCAAATACAATAGACTGTGCACGGCGTAATGAATCATTGGTCGCATAGATGGCGCACACATTAATTACGATGACCTCAGTAGCGTTTCAAATTTTATTTCGCGAATCGTGATGCTGTTTTCCGTTCATGCAAAAGCGTTGGTTACTCGCCTTATCATGTCAGCTACAGGAAATGTTTTTGCAGAGTCAAATTTCACAGTGTAGAAGCTACCGTTATATACAATATTTTTTCTACAACTGAACCGATTGCTTTTAAGTTCAACTTTGTCATGTGTGCGAAATACTTTTTTTCATTGTTGACGGTTTCGCGCACGTTGTGAAGAGCAACCTTACTTATTAATTAACCGTTCAAAAATCTAGTACTTCGCGTTTCGAAATTCGTCAGAAAATGACAGGTTTTTTTGACAGTTGTAGAAAAATAGGTTTTTTATAATAAAATAAAACAAAATGGAAAAGTGTAAATTTCAAACTGAGTGGTTGAAGAAGCTAGATATTATCTTGGGGTCGAAAATTTAACGACGAGAAGGTGTTTTGCGTTGCGGTAATAAGTATTTTAAGAATGTATCCATTTTATGTTGTTACGTTGTTTAAAATGTTATTAAAATTGCAACGTCTATGCAGTTACGTTTTAACGGTTACTTTTTTTTTTAGATATATTGCCGTTTATGTATCTCATCATTTTCATCTATTACAAAATAAATATTTTTTGCTTAATTTTGTATGGAAATTGGTTCTCGAAGGTCTCGAAATGGTCTCTATTTTTAAATATGTAAATACGTCTCTATGTCTCTATTTTTTTGCTAAAATCAGTTGCGAACCCTGTTTTCAACGAAAACTGTTGATAAGTACTGGCTCCAGTATAGTTGTAAAAAAAATTTGCCAATTTTTTTCCAAAAATATGTTTTAAAGGTTTTCATTAAACGAAAATGCCCGCATGTAATAACACATCAACAATGTTTGGAGCACGTAAAATTTTTATTGATCAATCTAATAACTTTACGTAATTATTACAGTTCAGTTCAGCGTTACGACAGCCTCATCGTCGAATTCATCCTAAAATGTTGATCGTCAAAAATGTGTAAATAATTTATTTGTTTGTATTAGCCTCTATTAGTGATTGTGAAATTTAATTTTACTTTATTGGCAAAAATTTATGTATTGGACTTTGGTATTTACATGGCGTTATTTTATATTCTGTTTAAATGCTATAGAAAAAATAATAAAAAAATAATTCGCAAGTATGCCTTCAGAAGCCGCCAGATTCTGCAAAGAAAGTTATTCAAACTGCGGTTATAAATTTATAATGTAGATGCAAACTTCTTTGAAAACGAGGTACCTTAAAAAAACACTTAAAAACGCATATGCAGCATTTTACATTCCTAAAACGTTACCACTATTTTGGCCCCCGTCATGGCGTAATCTCCAATGTAAAATTCGTAATTCGAAAGAATGTAAGTATATTTTTAGCAAATGCAGTCGCTATAAAACCGGCGCAAACATCAGCAAATTCCTCTGGTGTTAGGTTTATATCGCGTATCTTTATGAATGGAGTAGGCAATGCAATTACGCGGGAGAGGTGATTGTATAATCTTCAAACGGTTGTCGTTTCCAAACGGAACTTCGCGTAGTCGGCATAAGTTGCCGCGGACTTTTTTGTAGAAAATTTCATTGCCCTTTAAAAAAGTCCGCATATATTTTCGTCAATCTCCTTTCGGTTTCTGAGCGTTTGGAAGAATTGGTCAGAGAACACAATTTTTACAACTCTATATTAATAATTCAAAAATCGGACGATATTACACAGCATACAAACCAAAATAATCATATTTACCAATCAAAATAATAATATTGACCACGCAATCTGCCAAATGACGGGTTTTCAGTAGTATAAAATTATTCAGTTTTAAAATTTCTGACGTTAATTCAGTGCGCCACTGGTTGCTGGTAAGCGACTTCTGTTGGTCCAACTCCATCTATACGTATTAGTCCACATTAAAACCGGTGCTCAGTCTATTGTATTTGGTCTATGCCAATGGTGACTGAAAACATGTGTACGGCGCTTAGTTGCTAGGAGACGGATGCGCGCTAGTGCTGCAGCTTAAAATGCGGGTCGAGAGTTTTTTTTTTTTCTATTTCGATTTTTAAATGTTCTTATTAACGCACTGTTTTCCGCTCAAAACAGTGCGTAATGAGACCTATTAACGCACCGTTTTTAAGTTGGTATTAAAGAGGAAAACCTAAATTCACTACCCTATTTGACATTCGATTGTATTTATTTACAAATTAGGGTTATGTTTTGATGTACAGAAAGACAAGATTCCCTTTCTATTTGATTAAAAGCGAGACATGTAAGGCTGATAAAGTGTTAATCAAATTACAAGAACAATATGAAAAAACCACTTATTACTTTCTCACAAAACTCAAAAGGGAATTAAATATTACGGTATGTAGCGTAAGAACCGAGATATCAACAATGTGGGGCTTTGAGGTAAATTTTTACATTAATGATTAATGCCTCTTTTTGTAGCACGCTCAACATCTACGTGCAATCTGTGACCAATGATTACTAGTACGAATAGTGTACCTATCTTCCAAAAAAGACCTACAGGTTATAAAGGAGATTTCGAATGGGGAAAGGATGACAACGAGGATACCTTCGGAACACATTAAACAATATTTTAAAGAAGCAGCTTATTGCTTTTAGCACTTGTTCTGCGTTATTAATATCGTGAGCCTGATTTGTGTAGTATCGTTATGCTCCTAAGAGGAAGTGACAATCTGAAGCCGAACCGGTCGTAATGAGTGACACGTATCACGTAACAACAACCCACTAAGGACCGATCCGTTAGTGACCGTTAATGGCCAATCGCGAAAGGAAACCTTTGTTTTTCTTTTTATGTCAGTCACCAATATAAGTAGAAGCAGTGTCATAAGGGCGAAATCTGTTAGGTGTTAGCTTTGTCGTTAAATCGACAGTGACACGACTGAATTTCACATAACTTATATAAAAGGACGAAGGACTGTATTTTGCCTTTATGAATTGTTCCACATTTAATGTACTAATTTCTGAAGTTTATTAATTAAAACTATATTGATGAGTGTATTATTTAAGTGAAATATTTGGGACGTCGTACTGCCAACTTAATACAACCTGCACTAATACAACTTCTATATCAAAATTCCCTAGTTACAAAAAGTTACTATAACATCATTTTGATAAAAATTTCTCGAAAATATCTTCTCAATAGAAAAAATAGTATAAGAAACTTGTTTCATAAGACGCCCCATCGCACTCGTTCATTAGAAAACTCGCCGCGAGCGGCTCGTTTTCTAAACTTGAACTCGTGCGTTAAACGCGCCACTTATGAAACTTGTTTCTTGATATACTATTATCGAATTGTTTAAATGAGAATAACGAGAAAATATTTAATTGAATTTATATGACGGGTGCAGATTTATTAATTTATTATTTAACTGCACTATATATTTCGACTGATTATTGGATTAGACTGAAGTTTTTCTTTCTGTGGACAGAAGGATTATTGCATTGTAGGGAAATAACTCAGCGTATGTAAGCATCTACGCTAAATTAAAGCAAACAAAATTTCCTGTAAAATAATGTTCAGTTGTTACAGTACACAGTTGTACAGTTGGACCATACCTACCGTGCGTAAAATGCCTTAAGGACACGGAAGCGCAAGAACTCAAAGCTCAATTCACGATAGGTGGTGTTGCCGTATTGAATATGTTACATAAATTAAATAATGCAGCGCGGCTCTTTGGCAGAAAGTAGGTACTACTAGCACGAGTATACGCGCACAATCTACTTTACCGAATTTGTGTTTTCCTACATCTCTATCTCGATTCATTACCTTTGCGACGGCGATATAACTCAATCTTTTGACCTTGAGAGTTCCAGAAGAGTTTGGCGCAATTTTCACCATTGGCATTATAAAATTTTATAGTACGGACTGCTTTTCATTTTGATTAGAATTTACGAACATACGTACCGTTTGTTTGGTACGAACGCAACATGTAATTTTGCGTGCTGGTAAACAAAAAATTTTCGAATATCTAATCAGAACCAGCCAAATTGTACACTTCCTACCTCAATTTAATTAACAATTCATTTTGGTCCAATGCCCTTGTGCATACTATTGTATGAAAAGATTAAACAAATAAAAGTACATTCCGCTTTTATCATTGTTGACGTTTTAAATGTCTCAAGTTTCTAGCAACATCCACTTAGGTAGGTACCTACTGATGGTTTATAATAATTTAAACCTTTTAGCGATAAAAGTAAGTAACATGTAATTTGATGAAAGAATGGAGGTAAAGGTCAAAAAATATCAATGTCTTTTCTAATTGGTTGCGACTTCGAGCGATACGATATTAGTAATTCAGACATTTTTATACATCTTTCGGATGTTGTATCCGAATCTGAAATCAAAATTCGAAAATACCAAAAAGGTTTTTGGATCAAATGATCGCTTTTTGACCAACTTCACGTCTGTCTAAAATAAAAATTCTTGAAATTCGGTACTCCTCCCTCGATTCATAAATAATAATGCTATTCAAGTCAAAACAAAAAAATTCGAATAAAGTTGCGACAGACAGGCGGACACACATTCAAACAGATTTTTTTGAAAATTGTAAGGTACTGACGGCGATGAGTGACAAACAGCGTATTTTAGTTGGCCCGGCAGACGTTGTCTCCTGTTTTTAGCTATGAATATTAAATTTGAACTGCAATACTTCAATAATAATAAGAAAAAATTATTTCAAAAGCATAGTGAAATGCTTTTTGATACGCAATATTATTTCTTTTGATTTCTGGTGCGTAAATAAATACTGTTGAAGGTTTTCCGAGACGGGAACAGGCCACATACAGTGGACCATGTGGAAAACATGGATTTTCCAGATTGATCCCCTAAACTGCAACGGCTGCGCTTAGCGATTTAATTATCGACTTTGCAAATGCAAGATGCACTGAAAATTGTAACCGTTAAAAATCTTCCCTTTCAAAATTGGGGCTTCGACGATGTTCATAAATTTCTTCGCCGCATGCCTGGTGCCGTTACCTACAAAGACGTGGCTGGTTTATGATCCTCGAAATAATGATTACTTACGGATCCAATTCGTTATTTGAAGACCTTTTCCGTTTTCTCGATCCACTAGTCGTCGCTTCTTCCTTTTTATTTGGTCGTGTAGGTTCCGGTCGTCCCCGCAAATCACGGTATAACAGGCCTTTACCTGCTCGTTTTTCAACAATGTTTGGAGCCAAGCATTTCAGATAGAACTCTATCAATTTTGGAAGCATTCTTTCTGTCCAAAGTCTTTCGTCAAAATCTACCTGTTCGTGAAACAGATCATTATTGTCTCCTGTGTAGACGACGAAATGACAAATTTTAGCTCCAGATATAGCCAATTGTCCCTGAATCTAGAGTACACAAAATAAGATTCAATGATCCGCTTAAAAGTTAATATGTATATCTTACTTGGTAGAAATAGTGGTGATTTGTGTTAATTGTTATTCGCCCATCAACTCTTCTCAAACAATCTACTTTATTTTCGCCGATGGCCGTGTCTAAATTCATTCCCATTTGCGCCACGCTATGCAAACAGTTAACCTCCACGATTTCGTTTTTATTAATAATACCTAAAAATGGCGTAATAATTCATATGAAATGGAGAGAGGAGATGAAAAGTATACCATCCGGGGATGCCCCTAAGAACCCGTGCTCTGAATCTACAAAGAGGCCGCTGCTTTGCACTTTGAGATTGGTGAGCACTTCGAATTTGGAAATGGCCACGGACTCGTTCAATTTGCCATATTGTATTGGCGCTAAGTGCGAAATGTCACGCGGCTCTAAGATCCTCTTTACCAAATTGTGGCAATCGAGTGGTACCCCGTTGTTTGATTATTTGGCCGAAATTGGAAGCCGTTAATCTGTACTTCCGCTCTGACAAGTACAGAGGATTATCAAATTGTCCGACCGTTTGAGCTGCGATTTGTTGTTGTTGCTCTTGCGTAATCTGAGAAAATCGAGGTAAAAATAAATGTTTAAACACTAAAGAAGATGCGAAAAAATTGATACCTGTACCATTGAATAAAGAATCTTATTATTCAATGGCTGTACTTACTGTTAAACGATCGATAAGTCGTTTAATTTCTGTGTCCATATCCTCTGGACAGAGTTGTATGTCTGCTACATCCGGTTTATATGCTATGTCTTTTTGTGTGGTTTTTGCATGCTTTTTGTTGTATCTAGCTCCTATTGTTTCCCTATTTTTGCGAAGGACCCTTGTGTTCGCTTTGCTTGTAATGTATTTTCGTAGGTATTTGCCTGTGCTTTTAAATATGTTATTTGATGCATTTTCCTGCCATCGAAAACCGCTATTGTACCTTATAAACAAAAGTGAATAAAAAGAAAATATTGTAACATATATCCACAATACCTCAGAGCAGCAAGCGTGGAGCGAATATTGAAACTGTTTCGTTGAACAAGATTCAATCTCTTTCCCATGTTGAACCTAGCTAAGATATTCATAAATAGCTCTGCGGCATTGTTTCAAATGGTACTAGCTGCGGAATCTTTGCCATAACACTGCTTAGAGCAGCAAAAATGTGGTGGTGAAGGCCTGTCGAAAGTACTTCCGCCTGCATATTATTCTTTTGGTCGCTGTTAAAACAATATTCACTGACACAATTTTCATGTGATCCGAACACGCAATACACGACCTGCGAGATTAAATCCCTACAGCGTGCATTTCCTATTGATGCTGCAAGGGCAAGAACTTTCCGTGTGCTGTGTGCTAGCCTTTTAATTTTATCTGGTGATAGCAGTTGTCGGGCCCTCAGAGTAACGCCTTTTACGTTTTTCTTTATGGCGTATAGGTTTTTCGTGAAATTTTTAAGGCAGTGGTTCACGCACTCCACTTTTTCCACTGTGGACCCATACGGAACCATCGTTCTAATTTTCGCCATAACATTAGTGTCGCCATCACCAATTAATCGTTTGTAACGCAATCCATTGTGTTCACTTTGTTTAAATCCATCAACCAGAATGTCTGCTTCCATGGTGGTTGCGGATCCATCATGGTTTTTATAACACAGATGTTCTTTGGCAGGCTCGTTCCTATTTACTGCGCGAGCGCAAATAGAACAATATTTGTTTTTTACTCCCAAATACAGTACTTGTTTGGTTCGCATCCCAATTATCACAGCCTATAAAAAAAGTGACTGTTGAGCAATCCCACATCGAATTGGATGGCCTTACAGTTCCTGATAAAGCATTGTATGAGTGTCCGTAACTGCGTTTGGACCATCTACCGTCCGCATAGACAGATATGGCAGGAATACCATCCGGATCGACCTCATTAAATTGTTTCGCGAGTTCCGCCTCTTTTTGGGCAGCCCGCTGGATATCTTCTGCTAATATCGATTCAAAGTTCTGCAATACATCTTTTTTTCTACAATCCTCAATAACTAAGTGACTTACCTCGCTCAATTGAGCTTGATATTTGTAGTATAGGCGGTTAGAAATACTGGGTATATCTAGAACACTCAAAAATTCTTGCAAATGTGCATAGCAACCACCTGTAGATAATGTACCCCATACGCTCGCTTTGTTTACCTTAGGTGCTTTCGGATTTTCCGAAGAAATCGTAATAAGTTTTACACAACTCGTGCATTCGAATGTATATTCACTCACCAAACCTACACGCTTTTCGCTTTTTAGAAGAAGCTTGGATGCAGTGCAAATAGAAGTATGTTCTTTTTGCATACTTAGCATTTTATTTATAAAATAGTCGATTTGTACTATTCTGTACCCGGGTACGCTCTCCTTCATCGTTTCCGTTTCGACGCACAGAGTATGGGACTGTATACTGAAAAGTGCGGGAAATTAGATTTAAGAAAACAGATCCGATTATTTTTATAACATTTATGTGTACGGCACAGCAGGAAGGTCACACGAGTGAGGGTCATACCCTTATGCGAATTATTTTATTAACATTTTAAGTGCAACACACCGTATATAATTCGTGGTTCGCAGCGTCTACGAGCTCTTCTTCGCTCCTCCTCCTACCCCACTGAACCATGACTCTTCTGGTTCTGTTTTATACAAAAACAAATAAACCCCTAAAAGCCTAAAACGAAGCGGATCTAAAAAAGCGGCAGAGCGTCGCGGTGTGAGCCTACGGGGTCATGGGATTTGGCGCTTTTTCCATAGGCTCGTTACATGTGGTATATAGGTCAACTGTGTAAAGTTTGGATCGAATCGGCCCATGCGTTTAGCAGTTATCGTGTTCACGGACAGACGGACACCATCGACTTAATAAATAGTAGAAAGCTTTTCTGCAAATTCCTATAATAAAACTATAATCAACACAACTCACACTATCCACTTCACACTCAGCCAAGCACTCAGCTATTATAAAACGATCAAAATGATTACTGTTATTTTCTAAATACCTTCCCAAATGATTCTTTAGTTTACTGATGTAATGATTACTTATTGCAAAATCAATTGTGTTTCTAACAACTTACAAATTACTAACAAACATAAACTTTTAGCTTTGTTTATTAATATTACCACGTACCTAACATACATACATACATATAATTACATAATAATAATAATTATTATTATTAGATATAATTTATTTTATTTTATCTTTTATTTTTATTTTTTAGGACCCTACATAACTTCACCAGACACTAATCGTTACTTGATTTGAATCCGTGCGATTAGTTAACCAGGCTAGACCTGAGTTCTCACAAGAAACAGGGTGATTCCTATAGTACCTGCCACCGTTTGGGAGCGTATAGGGGGTGCCTAGGGGAAGTCTTTTCATATAGGACACTTGGGGTCGGAAATCCAAAATAAGGGCGCCAGAACCAAATTTATCTTCTGGAATTTCACGCCTGTATGTAGGCAACCCAACCGACCGACGTTTCGCGCGGAGCGATGCAGAGCGAGTTAGCGACATGGGAGGGAAGGAGGGAAAACGACAGTCAAAAGCAATAACGTTTACAAGTGTTCAACGTGGCCACCGTTGTTCTCAATGCACTTCCTACATCTAGCCAACCACTCCCCCTCGAACTCGCGTGAAGACTCCTATGTCCTGGCGAACAGCCTCTCCGGCCATGACGACGCGCGCAATTAAGTCCTCTTCGGATTCGACGGGAGTCTCGTAGACGTGCGCTTCCATCACACCCCACAAGTAAAAATCTAATGGGGTGATGTCGGGCGAGCGGGCAGGCCACTCCACGCACCTCCACGGCCGATCCATCTGTCCGGATAGGTTTGGTCCAAGTGTTCCTCACCTGCCGCCCGTAGTGAGCAGGGCACCCATCGTGCTGGAACCAGTGGTCCCAGTACAAGTTCACTGGAACATCCATTAAAAGTTCTGGTAGCACCTCGCGCAGGAAAAAATCAGGTAATTATGGGCATTTAGAACGCGGAGGGAGGATGTAAGGCCCAGTAGGTTGTCCCCCAGGATGCCAGCCCAAACGTTTAAAGAAACTTGTCCTGGTATCCTCGCGTAAACGTTTCATGAGGATTGTGCTCCGCCCAGTAGTGGCTGTTACGAGGATTGAAGGTCCCCTCTCTTGAGAATTTTTTCCTTTACCTTTCTGCTGGGGTGGATTATCATTGTGTCTTAAAAGCCAATAAATTTCGTCCCTGGCTAAACACAGCCCTATAAATACCATAAGCGCTTTCGGTCCCAAAAGCCCAGGCTGATCAGTCAACACCCACCCAATTTCCTTCAAGCCGGTCCTTAGAAATTTACGCCGCTCTCGGTGGCGATATCCCACCTTCTGTACTGCTTGATTGTAACAATCTTTAACCTCCGAAATACGTTTCCCATAACCTTTGATAGTTTCAAAGAAAGTTTGAATGTAAGAATGAATGTAGACAACTTCATCACGAAACAATGGAACTACCCACGAAGAATCTAAAGCACTCACCCACATTTTATTAAAATATTCATGCTGCAATCCTTGGTGGCAAAGCATAAATCCAAACACAACCCAACGTTCCATTAACTCCAAAGAGAGGTATTCACATGATATTCGTTCTGAAGTCACAGGTTTCGGTAGCTGACCAGGATTCCCCACCAAACTCAGTTTTAACTCACTTCTCCACTGATCCGCAGATACATTTCTAACTGGAAATATAGGAAGAAGTGAGTGTAAAGCACCTTGCAATAATTTAGAATGGGTGACAAACTCTTCAGACAGCTTCTTAATCGGCATGTCATAATCAATTATCATACTTCCCAACCGTGGAAAACTAGAATCATGTTGCGAATGTACCATTTCGTGAGCAGCATTAAACAAACCTAATACCGCCTTACGATCATCAACTCTCGATAACAAAATCATAAGAGACACATAAGTTACAACCAAATCTAAATAATTCTTCGTCAGTTCAAAATTTACAGATATATCTAAATGCACTTGCCACGCATTGAGGCATGTTAAGAACTCGCAAACACAGTTCTTAAAATCAAGTAAATCCACAAATGTGTAATAATACAAAGATAAAGACTTTATAATCTCATTTCTAATTGGTTGAAGGGGTTGCAAGCTTTTTACGTCGATATTTGGAAATCTGCGAACTATGTTCTTAATTGAGGATTCTAGTGTCTTGTCAGATAGAAATCTTGGCTTTGACTTTGCATCTCCGCAGGCCTTTTTTATGTTGTAAATTCGAGTCAGCATTCCCACTCCTCGATCATTTAGAATGATTAGCTTTTCAGCCAGTTTTCGTTCATTTTGTGTCATCTGCCGACTCATTGTAACAGACTATAATCTGGGAAATAAGCAAAATAGTAATTTTCAAAAACTAATAGGATACTTACTAAAATCCTAGAACATTACACATTCCAATTCAGGGTTTAAGTTCGTTAGTATTAATTAACGCTTTATTACTGTGGATTTATCTCATCATATGAGTAACAGGAAGAAGGTTTTCATGATGGTTTTTGTATCAGATTGTGTAGACTACACCTTTCCCTTGTTAACCGAAATGACAGTAGTAGTAAATTAAACGGTACCGTACATTGAGGTTAGAATGTGTAAAGTGACCGTGGATAACATACCGATTATGCAGTGGTGTAGCATTAATCATTCCGTCGTTAAAATGTCAAAAGATTTCGGATCCACCTAATTGTATCCACAGAGTTGTATATAAGTAAATAGAGAGGCAGTACATACGACCTGCGCGTGAAAAAATAACTCCAACTACAGTGGCCGACTTTTAATGGCGGAGCCGTTGGGACTCATGCGCAGTGCGTAAAAGGGAATCAGCACGATTTTTGGGTGCATTCAGTTACAATCACAAAACAAAACAGCAATAACTTTTCAGATGCTTCAGATTCATTTGTAAATAAACAGACGCTTTGGAGCAATAATTGAAGCATGCCCATTACATTATACTCTTTACCGCCATTTCAATGTTTAGTAGGCGACGATCTGTACATAAATAAAGGTTATTTTAAAATGCTCCTAGAAAAGTGCAAGAAAAGATCAAATATATGGGTGGAAGGAAAACTCTTCGCAAGCAATTGTTGAAACTTGGTTTTCGATACAAGAAGTGTCGGGACAAACGTACGTTGGTAATGGAAAGAAGTGACATTGTAGTATGGCATCTCATTATTTAAGAAGATTAAAAGAAAATGAACAACCTGAATGTGACAAGAAACCCGTTATATACTTGCACGAAACCTATATTCACCCATCGTACGGAGTGAGTAAATGCTAACAATCAGATAGTTTTATAATAGGGCTGGTCAGAGGTACATCGTAGTATGCTGGTAGTCGTTCTGGTTTTGTAGAGGATGTCGCACAGTAAATCGGGGGATTATTACGGTGATATGAATCATACCAACTTTATGCAGTGGTTAGAGAAGCAGCTTATACCAAATTTACCAGCGAACTCACGCACCTTATCAGTGTTCAAATAAATAAGCCACCAACAATGAATAATCGTAAGGAAGTGATACGTTCTTGGTTAGAAGCAAATAACATTCCTACGAGAAATGAATTTATTGACAATGCACAATTTATTGTGAACACCGGCAGTTCCGATGATGATTAGTGGTCAAGTGACGATAATGAATGAAAAAAGTTAAAGGTTGTGTGTTAATTTAGTCAATGTGAGTGTTATTAATTTCAATGTGATTGTTTCAATTACTGTCCATATTTACACAGCAGAAGTGCATCAGAATTGTAAATTGTGTTGAACATGAACATCTAACAATCTTACATGTGTTTACGTTTTGTTGAAATAAAATTATTAATTTTACTGTTTCCCTTTGAAGTAATGCAACTCATATCGCGTGGCTCACTTATTTATATTTAGTAGAGTCAAATTTTGCATGAGAATGTACAGTCTAAATTTCCAACGTCCTCGGACACACCCTGTCAGGGACCTTCTGAGCGTGGTGCCACTATACATACATACCCTCTGCCGATGCTTCATTTTTGAGATATTTGAGTTATTGGCATTTGAAGTTTGTCGACTTTGTGGCTACCCGTATTCAAACTGTGTTTTTGGCATTGCACACCTGAAATTTTGTCCCGCACCAAAATAAAATTTCCTTATTTTATTCTTTCATTGCTTATTTTTATACCTACGCACTGAGTGCATAAATAGATCTTTAAACTCGATCGCACGACAAATATACGATTTCCTTTATACCAGAATCTCAAAAAATCTTTTCTCGATTCTGATGTTGTAAGCCCCTTACCAGCTTTGTATTGTAGTCTACTGTATTAAAACTTCTTAACGATTGTAATGTTTCTTATTTATTCAAGACACAGTGTTAAACAACATCATTCGCCACACATTGAATTTCTTTTCAAATTTGTTGCAATCAGAAACCATATTATTCTCAAGCCGAACCTGCTTTAAGGATCATTTAATTTGAAGCCGGTTCTGTTGTCGATTACTGCGCACACTCACCAACGGTCTGCGCAAGGTTCAATTGGAGTCAATTTTTCGCTACAAGACTGTCTCTCTATTTACTTATATACAACTCTGTGATTGTATCTCATTTATTTCAATGTAGTTTCTTGAAAGTGTAATATTTACATTACATACATACTACATTTGAATATATACATAGTTTTGTTTGTGCAACCTAAAGAACGCAGAAAAACTTGAATACTGTTACAATAATTTGAGAAATTCACAGCTCATTTGGCAAAATTCTTTGGCGTATGAAAAATAATGCATTGTCTATATCTATTCGCGAAAATTACCAACCAATAGATGGCGTTGAGACATGCAAAAAATTTGAAATAGGAGTGAACAACAAAAACTTTTACTACGGTTCCTATACGTTCGCGTGATTGTTTACTTTTACATTTTCGTTCCATTTGCTTATTTCATTGTGTTCAACCCTTAGAGGAAACAGTCTTTATCAAGACTATTGTTAAACGCACGTATTGGAGTATAAGTAAGTATCAAAATTGAAATATAATATAATAGTACATTATATATCAAGGTAGAGAAGTCCTATTATTGCCTGAGCACCAAGATTACATCTCGAGGCGCTTGCGCCGAGGGGTGTAAGGTGCGAAGGCAATAATAGACTTCTCTACCGTGGTATATACACTATTTTTTTCACTACTAGCACTTGAAATCCTCTAAATTAACATATTATATTGATAAGAGAGTTAACGGTTGGACAGAATTGTTTGTTTCTTAATTTAACATGTCAATCAAGTACGTGGAAGTACAAGTCAAACAGGCCGTATTTTGTTCTGTCATTGAGATTTTTCAAAGAGTAATTTCGTTCGAATTTTTCAAAATGTGATAATTTTAGGTATGTAATTTCTCTGGAAATTGCGAATGGTGGCAATTATTCGTTTTAGAGAACTTGTCTAAACGTTCATTGAGCGAAATTTCGGGTTGTGTTTTCTAAAAGTGACAGCGTGACAGTTCTCATTATTGACTACTAGTTAATAATAAAAAATTATTAACCACTTTGAACAAATGCCGAGAAAGCCTACTTTACAAGTGGAAAAAAGGTTAATAATCATGTCATCAGACGCTAGTAGTGAAAAAAATTATTTATTTTTCAACAGGTAGGCGTTTGTGTACCATCATTTTTCAGTAGCATTTGAAGTGCTTCAAATTCCATTGTTTTGCAGTGGTTTAGAGACACATTTTATTTGATTCGATTGGTAAATACTCAGGTCAAGAAAAAACAAGTTATAGTAATATACCTTTTAGTAGACATGGTGCGAATTGAAGTAACGATAGGTGATATTCTGGAGTATGTGGGCGACCGAATACGACCTTTGAAAGAAGGGGAGGCAGTTTTTAAAGCAGGCCATATAATTTTGTGTGGATTACTAAATGTTATTAAAAGTTTATGTTTGCAAACTTCGTCTCTGACACAACCTCCTCACGAGATGCATATCAAGTTGGACAGCACAAAGTGGCAATGTGCGTGTAGCTGCAAAGCTGGATTGTCAGGGTATATTTGCAAACATATTATAGCAACCCTGATTTATGTTAATCGGTAAGCATTTAGTTACTTGCACAAATCATCGCCATTGTAAAACTAAGCAGTGATATCATAACAATATGTCGAAGCACAGTAGATTATTATAGTGGATAGATAATTAAGGTCATAAGTGCTGTTTAACGTCACAATGAAGGATAAGGTAATTTCAGTGAAAGTGGAATTTCATTGTTGCTTACCACATTTGTCTTTTCAGAAATGAAGACTTAGAGGTGTAATAAGTTGTACAGAACTACAACAAAAATGGGGCCAAGAAAAAAAAGAAGTTCAAGAAACATTTTGCATTTTAAAAACTAATTTGAAGCCTAACTAAATGTGAATAATAATTAATAATAAAAAGTCAAACAGGGTCAAGTTATAGCACAAACCCAAACAGATTCAAATTATTTAAATTTTGATAAATATATAAGGCACGGGAAATAACACTTCTCACAAAATGTATGCAACAAATCGATGGTGTTTATAAACAAATACATGAATAAATTATTTTTTCTATTTCGGTGTCACAATGATGATTTTGTACAACTGTTTTCCGCCGAAAACAGTTGCACAAAGCTTAGAGTAGGAAAGAGGCACAAAGACAGTGATTATAGTCGTTTTTTTTGGTAACTCATCTCTGAAGTTGGCAGTTACTAGTTAGTACAAGTAGGTACTTCGTTGGGTACTTCCATGTTTGAACTTCAAAATGTCAGTCTTACTACGCTGCCAACCTAAAACTTAACGGCATAAAAAGTGTTCCCAACATAAAACATGTTAGTTCTAGTGTTCCCTATAGTTTCTGATAATGATTTTTTTAATTAAATTGAAGCACCGAAATAGAAAAAATAGTATGAAAAACGCGTGTTACAATGCTTTATTGTAATACTCCTATCTTGCGGACACTCGTGGCTACGCTTCGCGTCGCCACTCGTGCCACAAGATAGTCGTATTACAATAGGTCGCATTGTAACACTTGTCTTTCAATATACTATAGTAAACTGGGTACGTATTCCACAAAAATAAACACGGTATTAAATGGGAATATTTTTGTTGTTCACTTTAAAAGCGCTTACAAAAAATTATAATAGATGTCGCCCACTTCGTGATTTTCGCGAATAACAAGTGGTTGAAAGGGGTGAATCTAAAAATATATGATGTCAACAAAAAATATTAATTGGGTGCCTATACTGCCTATGCTTAAGTTTCCACGTCAGTTTGATCTGCTTCCCACTATAATTCACACAATTTAAAAAGATTGACGGCAATTGTTTTACCAGCTACATCGATAGGTAATGGATCGGCATATACCCGTCAAAAAATTAATTTATTCATATCATAGTGTATCCAGATTTCAGTGAGTTTATTGAGAAGTTTCGAGGTTATTTCACTCCAATCACGCCTTTTATATTAAAAGTTTGATATACTTAATATCCATTTTTGGTAAGTGTTGATAGACTAAACACGTGGTATACATAGTTATACAGAAACACTAAAGGGAGTAAATTTCTATTTTCAGTTGTGTTTTAGTTTTTTCAAGATGCTACTTATTAGACGTGTCAACATGGTACCAACTTAGGTTGCAGAATTCATAATCCTACAAGTTAAACATATACCGGGTGGTGCCTAGCGCGACGCAGCATAGGTAATTTCTTTATAGTCAATTATTAGCTCCCCTAATTGTTTTAGAGCAAAA